TTGTCGGTCGTTTGGTCAGAAAATACAGATAAACCAATGAGGTGAAGGATAGCCCACGTTCTGGACGTCAGATCGTGAAGATCTTCATTCCCCTCAAGTAGTGTACTGAAGCAACACTGGCTACCATGTTGCCGGGTCTCTGCAGCCCAGAATCTCTCAAAGGTGGTGAGGTGAAATTGGGTTTAACGCAGTGCTTGAGAATATTTCGCTCATATGACGACGTGCATGCGTGTGTATGTGTGCATGTGCGGCTGCTTGTACTAGCCCAGACTTAAGCTGGTTTTATAGTGCTAGCCCACTGAGATACCATGCCGCAGTGAAGCATGAATACCCCACTCAGACACATTATACTGACTCCGAGACGACCAGTCCTTGATGTACCCATTAATGCCGAGCGCCAGGCAGGGACCAACAAGTACCATATTTTAACGTCTTTTGGTATGACGCGGTCGGGGATCGAGCCCACGACCTTCCGCTCTCCAGGCGGACGCTCTAACCACTACACCACGGAGGCGGTCAGAATCTCCAAAGGGGAGCCGGGTACAACTCTATATGGGTCATCCTTACTGAGCGATCATCACCAACAAGGACGTTTGGCTCGGTATTTACCACGGTATCGCTGGAATCTGAGGACTTTGCGAAGAATACATTGGTCTGATGTAACTGATTGCTTCATGTAACTGATGGTCGCGTGAGAGTCTGGAGGCAGCGACATACATCATTTGCCAAAAAAACCCCACTTCACCAAGTGTTGCTTTTGGTGGAGGTTGCTCTCAATACTATAAACGTGACATGGTGACAATACGTGGGAATTCGACGGGTGACAGGGGCGGACCGAGGACTTTGGAGAATGGGGGGATACGTATATATCATGAAGTCCAATGGTTAGGGAGAAATGCTCCTCAGATAATATTTTTTCCGGGGACAAGGGGGTGTGCTCAACACCCCTTTCTGGGTCCGCCCCCGAGTGATATGTATATCCAGGAAGTGTTAGATCTTCTTGTCCCTCATTTGCATAATCATCCTCTACAAGACCTGCAATATGGATGACAACGCTTGGCCACACCGTTCTCGTGCAGTGACCGCTTTCATTCAGAATAAAGCAGTGACTCACCTTCCGTGGCCCGCCATGCATCCAGACATGAACCCCCAGGAGCACAACTGGAATTTATTGGGCGACGGATACAAGCACGTGTATCACCTGTTCATAATATGCAAGAGCTGAAGCAGCTTTGCACCAGGAATGGCAGGGGTATGCGGCGTCGGATACAGGCGGTTATCCAACCACATGCAGGGTACACTACACATTGATAAGGTTACAAATACACGATATTTCCGTTTTTTGTCTCATCACATACACGCCATGTTGCCTGATACTCTCTACAGCTCCATTTTGTTGTCCCTAATGGCATCACTCGATTTTTGAGCCAAAACAGATGATTTGTGTACTGTACCATATCCATTATAAAACCGTTGAAGGAAACTGTCCTTTTGTGTTTTCATGGAGTCAAGACATGATCTGACAGATAAACATGCAGCTCTGCCAAACACCGCTGACGTTAGCCGAAACATTCAACTTTGTAAAAGTTCCTGAGTGCTCATAGGCGGATCCAGAGGGTCTGGGGTGTGGGTGTGGTGTGCACCCCTTTTGTACTGAAAGTTTATTAAATGACCATTGAAACTCTGATGAAAATGAAGTGTGCACCCTCCCTTTTCTCAATAGTGTGCACCCCCCCTTTCTAAAAAAGCTGTATCCGCCCCTGGTGCTTAACCTTTTCTCAGATGTATATGCATACATGTGACAAATTGGAAACATGATATATTGATAGATGTGAAGATCAGACAGACTCTTTACGAGCAACAATATAAAACCTGCCTTCGGGGTGTCTATCACAGAGGAAATGGATAATGACGAATTGTTATGGAGTATACACTTGTAAGGGAAAAAATACTTGATGTGACAAGACAGACTGAACAGAAGCTATTTCATTAGATGCACTGGTGTGTGTTCTGAGGTGAGGTGAGGTGAAATTGGGTTTAACGTCGTGCTTGAGAATATTTCGCTCATATGACGACGTGCATGCGTGTGTATGTGTATGTGCGGCTGCTTGTACTAGCCCAGACTTAAGCTGGTTTTATAGTGCTAGCCCACTGAGATACCATGCCGCAGTGGAGCATGAATACCCCACTCAGACACATTATACGGACTCCGAGCCGACCAGTCCTTGTTGTACCCATTAATGCCGAGCGCCAGGCAGGGACCAACCAGTAGCCTACTATATTTTAACGTCTTTTGGTATGACGCGGTCGGGGTTCGAACCCGCGACCTTCCGCTCTCCGGGCGGACGCTCTAACCACTACACCACGGAGGCGGTCGGTGTGTGTTCTGATGAATGTCAGAAGTGAAACAAATAAGTTTCTTAAAAGTCCTCAACATCATTACTATAGTCCGTTTGGCTCAAAAGCGAACCGGAGTAACAAATAGTGAACTGTGTCAATATTTCAATGATAGTTTGTAAACAACATTATATATTTCTAGGACATAAATTCTGCAAAAAACCTAAGAGTTGGTCTGATGTTTTGATTATGACCTGGGTTTCATTGAGTGTTCTATGTTTATTAGTGTTCGAGTTACATTGCAATTCATGAGTCCGCTTTTGAGCCAAACGGACTATACGGGTTTTGACATGCCTTGATCATGTTGATAAAATGGGGTACATAGCGCATTCAAACAAGTAATTTTATACTGAGGCAGATTTAAAACTAAGTGATGGTAATTTATACAGTCGTCATATGCATTTGAGTGAGTGAGTGAGTTGGGTGTTACGCTGCATTTAGCAATAATCTAGCAACATCACGGCGAGGAGAACCAGAAATTGGTGTCACATATTGTACCCATGGGGGATTCGAACCGGTGTCTTCGGCGTGACGAGCGAACGCCTCACCAATTAGGCTACCCAACTGCCCCTCATTTGGCATGAGGTTTCCGGGGTTCGAACGACCGATCTACCGCTCTCAGTGCAAACGCTTTCTTGACTGAAACATGGAGGAGGCCATCTTAACAAGGAAAGGCTAAATAAGAAAAAGAACATCCAGTTTCCTCACATATGACAAAAGGGTTAATCAATCGCTAAGTATCGGAGGTGAAAATGAAGCATTCCACAATACCACGGCGGAGACACCAGAAAGGGCTTAATTGTACCCATGTGGGGAATCGAACCCGGGTCTTGGCATGACGAAAAGCTTTAACCACTAGGTATGGGAAAACATTGTCCCCAGATTATATTCTTTAACTGTTGTTGAGCAGTATTCACTATTCAAGCAAGTTGAACACAAACTTTTATTGCAGTACATAATGAAATAGAACAGTTTATTAATGGTGTCGCGAAACCTAAATGGCATCCAAAGAATCCTCAAATAAGTATTTCTTCAGATGAAATTAATTCAGGGACATAACTCAAGCTTCGTTAAGAGCCGAACTAAGAAGTTTGCAGTAAGAGATTACCAGTCCCTTGTCAGTTAATGTTAAAAATCGCTCAAGACTCACGACAGATCCTCCGTTCCCGTTGCCAGAAGGGTTTGGGTTATTTAAAGAATAAATTGGGTATTAAATACTGCTCATCTAAATATGAGACATGACTATTTCAACTTCTGTTTGAAATATGTATGGAATGAGGAATGTCGTTGCACTTGGTCACGTGACAGGTTGTGTATTATGCGTCATATGTTAAAAGACAGATTGCATTATGAATGAATCGGCAGCTAACATAATGTATATAGACAATCATGAACGATATGTTTTGATAACATGAGAGTGAGCGAGTTTAGTTTTACCCAACACTCGGCAATATTCCAGCTATATATCTAAACAATCGAGTCTGGACCAGAGAATCCAGGGATCAACAGCATGAACATTGATCTACACAACAGGGATACCATGAAGTGTCAAAAGTCAGCGAGCCTGACCACCCGACCATGCCGTCTCTAACAACAAGCATGGGCTGCTGAAGATCAATTCTAACCCGCATCTTCATGGTTAGAACTGGGGATTCAATAACAGCAACTTTGTCAACTCTCGACCAGGTTACTTGGAAATGACAAACAGAAACTGATTTTTTACTTGCACTTTTATTGTTCGCAATGTTCATGGTTTACAATTGATATTTGAAAATTGTGCAAATCTCAAAATAGATACCATGCCATAGAACACTTAAAGACTGACAACATTTGCTCATAGTCATGATGAAATGCAAAGTGGTGTTGTCGAGGCATGGAATCATAACAGGCAAGATGATGATAAATGAAACAGAAGTAACCTTGTACATGGCAGATAGGGTCACAATGAAACAGCTTTACAACCGAACTTACAGCCCAAGTGAAAAAAAAATTTTACTGCATAAAGGTTAACATGAACAAGTCATCATGAATTCTTACAGTTCTTCAAAATGGGTCTTCTTCTGACATTCAAAAGTGGCATGATTACGATCAGGATAAACAAGGGCTGCGTAAGAACAACTTCATTAGCATACAGTAGACGAACATGACAATACAACTTCAAACAACAGTCTGATGATGTGGGGTCCCACAAAAGAAATTTGATGGATCAAGTTAACAGAGCTGAAATGATGGTCAAAGCAAATACTTATAAAACATTTTCCATAAAATTGGCCTTTAACTTCAATACTTTCTAAAAAAAACAAATAAAACATAAAGACATATTACACGAAGTTGCTTTGCTCTGACATGTCACAGGACATTATTAAATGTAGGGCAACATGAACAATCAACATGAATAATACAGTGTAAGTTTAAAACCAACATGATGAAAGAGCTGCACAACAGTGAGTGGCACAGGATTCAACTCTGCTCATAAGCAATGACCCACATGATTAACTCCCTAAATACTCAAAAGCTATGAAATAAATTCCACTTAAAATACAAAAGATTACTTCTGAAGGTAGATTCCTTTGCAACTGAAAGAAAAGGTTGACTGTCTTCTCTTTACTTTTTGCCACGTCCACGGCCTCTTCCTCTTGCACCTCGCCTACCACGTCTGGAAGGAGTTTGTGCCTCTTCCTCAACCTCAGCTTCCGCTTCTCCGACCCACTCTTCAGCCTCCCCCTCTCCTTCAGCCTCATCTGCAGGAGGATCCTTTGAGAGTAGTTTCTCTTCATCAGCTTCTTCCAAAGGAAGAACATCGTCATCTCCTTTCAGCTGTTCTTCTTCATTAGTTTCAGTTTCCTGGGCAGTTTCCATCTGTTCGCCTTCAGACTTGGTCTGGTCGGTTTCCTCTTGGTTCTCCTCTGTCGCTGGCGTCTCTCCATCAGTATCCATCTTCTCATCTTTCTCCTCCCCGTTAGCGTTCTCTTGTTCCTTTGTTTGGGCTTCTTCTTCCTTCTTCTTTGCAAGTTCCTCAATTTTCTTCTTGGCAGCCAACTCTCTCTCCTTTTGTTCGGCAATTTTGGTCTGATACTCAGTGACGGCATCGATCTTGGCTTGCTGGAAACAAATATAATCTTAATGTGAATAATACAGCAGTTGCAATTTTCCAGATTATAAGAGCAGCTTCTAACTAATAAAGCCTGGGTCAGAGTGAGTTTAGTTTAATGCTGCTTTTAACAATATCCCAGCAAATATCATGACGGCGAACACCAGAAACAGGCTTCACACATTATACCCATGGGGTAATTGAACCCAGGTCTTCCATGTGACAAGTGAAAGCTTAAACCACTAGGCTACTCCACTGCCCCCTCCCCTAGGTCAGAGAAACCAGTGGTTGCTGTTTGAGAAATATCACACCAGGTTACTCTCACAAATAGACAAGTTAATATTTGTGATCATTTGTTCCTTGTTTTAGCTACCTCTCATGACAGGTGCTTGGGATCTCTTGCAACACTGTATCCAAACTAGGAACTTTAAGAAGAGCTAGTAACCAATGAATATTTCTTTGCCAACAAGTGATCCAATGCCTACACATACCTTCCACTTTTCGTAGTGAGCCTCTGAGGAACAGTGATTCTGCTTGGCTGCTTCCTCCTTTTTGTAGAACTTGTTACAGAGCTTGCAGAAGAAGCCAGTCACAGGTACAACATAGTCCTTCCCTATACATAAAGAAGTATTTGCTTATTGCAAGACTGTTACACTGGGCTTTACGACTACTTATAAGGAGTCATATGGACTGGGGAATCAGTTTTAGCTTGAAAGATGAATACTGTATTTTGTCTCGAATATAGTCACCAGATTCTACGGTCTTATCGAAGCTGAATGCTCGTCTTTCTGATCTGACAATTATCATACCATACTGAAAACATCCTTCAGTTCAATTCCAGACTTACTAAATATTGCCTTGTATATAGTCAGTAATATTCCACCTGCTTGTTAGAGTGACGAGTTTTACGCTGCACTCGGCAATATTCCAGCTATATGGCTGTGGTTTGTAGACAATTGAGTCTGGACCAGACAATCCAGTGATCAACAGCATGAACATCAATCTACCCCACTGGGATACAATGACATGTGTCAATCAAGTCAGCAAGCCTGATCACCCGATCCCACTAGTCGCCTCTTACGACAAGCATGGGTTATTGAAGATCAATTTTTACCCAGATCTTCACAGATCCTACTTGATAGACAAACCAGTGGTTTATAGGATGAATGGTTGTGTCACTGTGACCAAGTCTCCCACTGTGTTCAACCAATGCTTACTTTAGTGTCCACCAAAACCATGGCAACTGGTGACCTTTCACAATGTTCACACAGAACTTACATCACATTTTGTCATTAACATGTGCGGTCAAATGTAACACGTTATATTTGGGATTACACTTTCTTAGTAACTGACTGACTGAGTTTGGTTTTACGCCGCTTTTAGCAATATTCCAGCAACATCACGGTAGGGGGACACCAGAAATGGGCTTCACACATTGTACCCATGTGGGGATTCTAACCCGGGTCTTCGGCATGACGAGCCAACACTTTAACCATTAGGAAACCCCACCGGCCCACTTTCTTAGTAAAGTGTAATCCCATATATAACATGTTACATTTGACCACTTTCTAAAAATGGCATTGTTTAATTTCATAGCTTTCGGCTGTGGGAGCCGTGCCAATTAACACTTATCAAAGGGGTACACAAAGTCCACAATCTCGACTACCAGTTGTCCGACTTCCATTTTTGTGGAAGCCGCGGTGGCTGAATGGTCTAGGCATCTGACTTTGCATGCTGGCGATTAGGTGCCTGACTCTGAGGGTGTGGGTTCGAATCCCGGATGGGACTCAACCCCAAAAGTACTAGAATCTGTACTTACCTAAGAAAGTGTAATCCCAAATATAACATATGTTACATTTGACCACTTTCTAAAAATGGCATTGTGTATTTCACTTTGTCATTAAGTTAAAAAAAATTTGGGTCATCTTTGAAACCTACCCATTGGGGTTTCCGCCACAAATTCAGGGATTTGCTCCTGTGGAAACAAAATGAATGTTTAATATTTGTGCTTAACATGTTAAGTACAGAAAACAATAAGCATTTTGATCTGAAGAAATATAATACTGGTGTTTTTTCCTGACTAACAGCTTTAACTGCCACTGTTCGTGAAAACATAATTATTGCTGACAATACAAGTTCTAATGAACAAAACATCCAGCATGACTCCCAATCAGATGGTTTCTCAAATCTTTACAAAGACAGGCATCATATCCAGACAACTGTTTTAATTCAAACGACTTAAAGTTATCATTACCACTTCAATATATTCAGGTTTGGGGATAACATCTGGGCGAAGTCTCCCTCCAAACTGCTCACGCATCTGTAACAAACCAATGAGAAAGGAATAAAAAAGCTGTTGTAGTGGTTTAAAAATACATGCAACGAAAGACTTAAATGGAATTTTGTTACAAAATAATGTCAGCTGCTCATTTTCTCTAAAACTGGTGGCTCCACATCACATCCAATCCTGACTGAACTGCAAGTCAGAGGCTTTTTGGTAAGCTAAGTGTATTATCACCAACAAGAAGAACATGTCATCAATATCCCCCGCAATGGCAAAATACTCTTCATGATTATGTCTACGAGTTATGATTATGTCAAATATTTAGGTGTGTATATAGAAAACTGGAAGGAGAGTATTGAAAGGTTTTTAAAGTTCTGCTCCAGAAAGGAGCACTATCACCAATTTCAGTCTATGTCAAACTTGTTGTCATGGAAATGCCCAAAATATTTTTTCAGAAATCCAAAACTACCAAAAGGCACCAGTACACCACCAGACCAATCTATGTGCCAAGTTTGGTAAAGAAATATTGAACGGTTTTAGAGTTCTGCTCCGGAAAAGACAAATGTGCACGCACGGACGGACGGATGGACGGACGGACGGAGTCCATTTTAAAATACCCCCCTGCAAAACGTGTTGCGGGGGATAAAAAGGAGGGATTTAAAAGGGAGTGAGTTGATTGAAAAGCAGCATGAAACAGTATTCAAGTTGAATCAGTTTCATCCCAGTGTGAGTTTAGTTTTACGCCGCTTTTGACAATATTCCAGCAATATCACAGTGGGGGGACAACTAAATTAGACTTCACACATTGTACCCATGTGGGGAATTGAACCCGGGTCTTCAGCATGACGAGCGAACGCTTTTACCACTAGGCTACCCCACTGTCTCCAGTGTGAGAGAAGGGCCTGAATCAGAACTTTGACTGTCACCACTTTGGTGTGCACAAGTACTGTATCGAGAAAATTTAGAAACATTATTGGGACAAACCAATATTCAAACCCAATCAGTTTATTATGACATCCCCTGGGTACATAATTCTGTACAGAGATTTACAGAAAGCGAGACAAGTGGACCACCTGTGACCCTTATGCAGCATCTGACAATGACAATACAATAAAGCAAATCACTGGGAAAGTCCACCAATTTAGCAAACTTTGAAGAGAAGAAATAGGTGGCCTTTTAGACGCAGACCACACATGTAGATGATATACACAGGAATGATCAAGGGGACTCCTACCTCCTTGTGCAGATCAGTGAGTCTGTGAGCCAGTACTTCAGAGAAGTTGGAGAAGCCCCCCACATTACACCAGGAGCAGCCTCTCTTCACCTGCGTCTCTCGGTGCTGAAATACATAAACAGGTTTGGCATTGTCATTCAAGTTTCAACACATAGGTCAGTGTACTTTGAGCTGATTCTTAATAATTTGTTCCAGTTAGTAACTGCTTAGAAGCATGTAACGGTCAGCTTCACTTCAACAACCAAATGTCCCCAAAACAAGAATAACACTCTACGGTGACAGGAGTTTGCCAAAGCACTCTGGAATGAATCCTGCCAAATATCCAGCAAATCAATGACTGACATATTTCAAAGTGAACTGAAGACCCTCCTGTTCAAACGAGCCTATGACCTGCGCCTCTGACAAAATTTTGGATTTAGGCGCACTACAAATATGAACTTTATTATTATTATAACATCTTGACAGTTCACCAACAAAAGAAATGTAACACTGTACTTACTCTATGCTGCTTGAACTTCAGGTGACTTGCCAGACTAACATGAATGTCAAGGTCACAAATGTCGCAGTGGTCAGTCCTGGAAAAAGACAAGAATGTGATAAACATCAGAAAACAATAGAGATCTGTCACTACTTGATACCATTCGATCAATTTCAAACATTTCAAAGCAGCAAAACCATACTTGAAAATCAAACTGAGAATTGAGGTCGCATGATCCTATTACTCCCTCAAAGAATTCACAGGCTGGTATTCATTAACATCAGTTGAAGATCAAATAAAGTACATGGCTTTTAACAGCTACATTGGAGTGAAATATGACTTCACTCATAACAATTCCCATGATCTATTCTGTCACTAAATCTTATCGGAGCACATTGACCAAAGATTCATTTGACCAAATCTCAATCTACTCACGCCTCTTTCTCTGGCAAAGGCTTAGCTCTCTCTTCTTCTTGTTTTGCAATTTTTGCCTCAACCTCAGCCTTCCTAGTAGGGTTCTCCTCCAGCTCATCTGCCTTTTCCTTGTGACGAGTTCCGGACAGATGATTTTGGTAGTTCTGCAAAGAATGCAAAGGAGAGTATGACAAATGATTTATCTTGATCGATTCATGACAACCTTTGCTAATAACAAGCCAATGAAACCATGCACAACTAGAATGTGTTCTACTCATAGTCTCCTCTCTCCCTTTCCATACATTAGTTCAAGTTGTTGACAAATAGGTTTACAAGTATGAAAAATATATAGCAAAAAAAAACACTAGTATTGATTCTGACACATGAAGCACCATTACAATCACTGCCATGTTGAGAGAAATATCAAGAGTGTCCCAAGGGAGATAATTCATTTGGATTCAAGCACAAGGCTATACATATGCATGTTTCTTGCTTTACTGATGTCCAATAAGGAGTGGTGATTAACCACAAGTGGCAGTTTTCAAGCTCATGACTTGATCACTAAACTTTGTACTATTTTATAGTCATCAAAACATGCTGCAATCCAAATGAATTGTGCATGTGTGGACACTGAACAAATATCTCTTCAGAACCATGCATCTACTTACCCTCTCATTGAAACATTCCACTTCACAGATATGGCAGTAGTGACGAGACAACTCCTTGCTCACCTGAAGACAAACAAAATGTTCATGTAACCACAGGCAGCAACAAAAGGCTCCATAGAACATTTATTAATGCTTCTATTAATACATTCCATAAACATTTCAGCAAAAAGCTTATCAGAGGGAAAAGTATGTTTAGTTTTACGCCACACTCAGCAATATTCTAGCTATATGACAGTGGTCTGCACATAATCAAGTCTGGACCAGACAAGCCAGTGATCTGCATCATGAGCATCAACCTACTTAACTGGGATACAAAGACATGTCAACCAAGACAGCGAGCCTGACCACCCAATCCTGTTAGTCGCCTCTTACAACAGGCATGGTTACTGAAGATCAATTCTAACTTAGATTAACATGGGTATCAGAGGGTAAGACAATGCTGGATGTAAGGTAGCAAACCTGCTCATTCATTATCATTTCACATTATTTGAAAAACAGTAATTTACCGTTTCCATTCATTGTTCTTTGTGGTAGCTGTTTAAGAAACAATGTGCCTTGGAAGCAGTCTTTCCAGATTCAGCTTAATAACCCAAATGTGGCTTCTATCATCATTGTACGTACATCTTAGTGATATCTGGTATGTTATTACTGACATTTCTGGATTACAGACTTCAGAAAAGGGGATAATGCCAAAAACTCTGATTGCCATTGTTGGTAACAACATACACTAGGATTTCCTAATTATCTTCCCAGACTGTGACCACAAAGTGATCTCTATAGTCGACTAAAGTGATCTCTATAGTCGACTAAATTGGATATTTACATCATGAAAATAGTAACCGGGCAAATAAGGCTTCAAACATTTAGCAACATCAAGCTACATCCTGGCAATTCAGTCATTACCACACTGGTCGCTGGCATGGGCACCAAGACTAGCCATAAAAAATGACAAGGAGGGTTCACACTTCCTAACAAGCTGATACTCCTACTCGGCCATTTCCTATCACAAACTGTAATGATATATAAGTTCCCTAGCATTATATGTACACAATAATCCAAACAATGTGACAGTAGCAGTGACAAATAAATTGGATTGCATTGGACCTTACAAGCAAGTGATGGAAACTTTACATTCATTAAAACGAATGAGCTGACCGCTGAAAGTATTTCATTTGCCTCCAAGCATAGGGTTATATGGTTATGTTAGGGAAGGCTAAGAACATTAATCATCAGAAATATCATTGATGGGAAGAATGATTAAGCATTATCGACATGAAAATTGTTAACACAACATCTTAATAAATAATTTTTTCATTTACACAATTAATACACAAAGTTACGTATTTATTCATTTTCTATTTACTAATGTTCAAACGGTTTTGACAGAGATCCATACCAAAATTTCACTACACATCATACATGTGAAATTATTAATTTGTTTCTTTCTTGCATTTTGCAAGTTACTTCTCCAATATTTAACAATAATCTGTCGATATTCAGTTAACGATTAGTCAGCCGGACATCTGTGCAACTTACTCTCGGCACTATTTTCGGCTTCCTCAGCTGTTCTCCCTTCTTCCTCCGGTCCCCTATAATACCAAGATGAAGTTCAAGGTCACATGGTCAGCACATCCTGATGCAGCAAACACACAGCTCATACAGATGGCTGCAGGCTGTATTACAAGGCAACATTACCCAACACCTTGGTCACTTGCATAAAGCAGACCATGGAAGATGAGTTACTAAAGATTAATTTTCAAATTTCATTTAAAAGAAATTCATACAAATTTGTATCTTTAGCATTTTGTCAAGATTAACATTGTGATTATAAAATTAAATAGCATGTTTCGCATTCACAGAATCAAAAAAAAAATTTTTTCAAAGATCTCGCCAAATTGTTCTGAATTTATCAAATGATCAGATGATGGTATTGTACTACATCAGTGTTAGAAAGTGCGTGGGTATACCTTTGTCCAACTATAAATTAATCTCATTCCCGACGTCTGTCAATGGCAATTTATCAACCAAAGAAATTAGACGTTTGACAACAGACAAAATTTTGCATGCTGAGACAGACGAAGACTGACAATTATCAGTTTTAGAAAACTTACCTGCCAACCAAATCAAAACCAAAATTGACTAACATTTTCACAAATTATTTGTGAATGATCTGAACCAATATTTAAAAATGAAAAAGAAAAAAACACAAAATACATGATCAAGCAAAGATTTTGTGTGTAAAGTTGCAAAATGGACGTGACAAATATTCTCCAGCAGTGTCATTTTTTTTCCAATTTTGAACTCAATTCAAGATGTCTACACGGACTCGCAACAAATGTTGTGCATTGCAACAAGGCCTAAGCGTTGTCTTAATATTTCAGAAGTAGTTAAGACTGCTCGTTGGACATGGTTATGGAGCAAACAGAACAATATCCCTGTTCAAATCTGACTCAGATCATAATCAGTACAGGGAAACTGTTTCTGCGGAGTGGCATTCGAAAAAGCAGTGTTCAGTAGACAATACTTGAACATATATATCCAGAAATGCAGGCACAAAATTTGGAATTATCAATTATTTCTGTCAGGTCCAGATTCAGTTCACTTGTCCATTTTGAAAACACCATAGTGGGTAGAAGGAATCCTTATTCAGTGGTGCACTAACACTAGAAGGGGACAACGAGAATGAACCAGCTACTGGTCACATACAGCACAAGTTGGCAAGCTGTACGACATGGGTCTGGGGTAATGTGGGAACATTTCCCAGACGTAGCATAGCTTGACTTCCTGGGATCTCCTAATAGGGCAAACCACCGATACACCTCATTACGCACAAATGGGGATGCAGCCTTTCCATCTTGTGAGCGAGAGTGTTTAGCTTTACATTTTCATGCCGATAAAACAAACTGCATTCTCATACTTGGCAGTTTGGGGAGGTTTCGTTTGGGTACTCATTTCTCTGCAAACATTACAATGACGCCAAGGAACACATCCCTTTCTACCACATTAACATTCAAACTTCAATGGTTCAGGTATATCAGGGACAATAAGGTAACCCTCATTTCCTCCAAGAGGCAAGTGCTGCCTTGTGCTGGTTCTGACTGCAAGCATTACCAGTGCCACAGATCACAAACCAAATAGCCCGAGAAAAGGGGGCAGAGATCAGGCTCTCCAAAACGGTTGCAACGGCCAGGGCTCTTCCTTAGGCTGCCAACAAGCAATCACCTTGAGAATTTCTGCGGTCCATTGGTCCTCTGGTCCCATTACCACCCTGCCTGTAACCGCCACCACGCCTGTCTCTCCTTCCTGGGCTAAAGCCCCCTCGGGCACCGCCTTGTCTGTTTCCTTGCTGCATTCCTTGACGGCCTCCTTGATATCTTTGACCGCCGCCCGCCCTTGTCGACCACCATAACCACGGTCTCTTCTATCGTCTCCATATGACTGAAATCATTAGCCATCCAACAAATGAGCTCCATGTATGGAGTCAGCCAGATTGAGGCTTCGTCGTGAAGACTTTTCCTCTTGACAATCTGGAAAGACTGGATTAAAGTATTCTCACATACTGGCATGTCTGAATAGGAAGTGCATGGCCTGTCTGAAAGCAATCTGCATGTGCTGTGGCCTCCACGGACAGTGCTTCTCTACGACATGTGCAATGTGTTAAGGACATCTCAAATATTTGTGGGTAAAATCGCCGGACAAAAAACAGATCTGTTTTGTTCCATAAAAGTGTTAGTTCTAGTTAAATCTATCCATACAGAACAATGTTTACGTGTTGCAATTTTCACAAGGGTTTTGTCATAAATTTTGGCAGTGCTCGAAACATGGTTGATAATAAAGTTTGTAACAGTATTCAATATCACAATAGACTCCTAAGTTGACCTAACATATCACTGTACTTGCTGAAAATAATAAACACTGAAAAAAATAATATTAGACATGATATATATGCAAAACATGACTACGACACTTCATTGTAACTCAACAGTGCCCAGAAATGTGCTTTGATTCGTAAACTGAACATCATTTTAACTGAATCTTTAGCATGCTCACTGACATTGTTACCTGTCAGAATATTACCAATTCCTTATTTTACATGTTAATGTACTAAACTTGGTGAGATTGCTAGTGAACAATACCTAAGGAAAATACTTTTTGGATTACATTTTCTATGTATCAAGTAGTCCTGTTTTAAAACTTTCCACTAGCTCCATCTACTGGGAAGTTCACAGGCCCATCATCAGGCTCTTCAGACGAGGCATTAATCATGACCAAATTTATATAACAAAGAACTAATAACTAGTAAAACATTAAGTAACCTTTAAAGCCATATTCATAATTTTGAAACAACATTTTCTACCTAAACCAGTATCAAATCAGTAAACTATTCAAAGTAGTTATTTGGAAATCACCACATAATAGAAGCTTTGTTAGATGCAGCTAAAGCATGTTCAAGCATACATACGTCAGAATCTCTTCTGCGGCGCTTGTTGTCCATGCGATAATCAGATCCCGATCTCTTTCTGTCCTGTCCATAGTTCCTCCTGTCCCGCCCACCATGTTCTGGTACATTCATCTGGACATCAGCGATCAGTCGACTCTGCTGCTGTAGCAGGTTGCTCGCCATTGCCAATTGAGATTCTCTCAGATTTAGTTGTTCCTGAAAATTACAGAATCATGTAGCCAGGACTTAAAGTGAGTGAGTTTAGTTTTACGCCACACTCAGCAATATTCCAACTATATAGCTGCGGCCTGTAAATAATCGAGTCTGAACCAGACAATCCAGTGATCAACAGCATGAGCATCGATCTTCTTAACTGGGATACAAAGACATGTCAACCAAGTCAGCGAGCCTGACAACCCAATCTTGTTAGTAGCCTCTTACAACAGGCATGGTTACTAAAGATCAATTCTAACTTGGATTAACATGGGTATCAGAGGGTAAGACAATGCTGGATGTAAGGTAGCAAACCTGCTCATTCATTATCATTTCACATTATTTGAATGGTCTGTAAATATTAGAGTCTGGACAAGACAATCCAGTGATCAACAGCATAAGCATCGACCTGTGCAATTGGGAATCGATGACATGTGCATCAACCAAGTCAGCAAGCCTGACCACCCGATCCCATTAGTCACCTCTTACGACAAGCATGGGTTACTAAAGGCCAATATTCTAACCCGGACCTTCACGGATTCCATGGCTTAAAAAGAATTTGAGTCTAAGTATTTAGACCCATTTACATTAGGTATTCAATTCATTTCATCTGGGTTTAGCCACAGGTGTTTTTAGTCCTGGAGCAATTGATTGAAGAATCTAGCAATCGATCCATCTCACTTGCATCAGTGATCAATAAGCTCTGTAGACTAAAAAACATTCATAAAAAATTAATCAAATTGAACTTTAGAAAGCATGTTTCTTATTGTGATGTTTGTCAACTAGTTTTGTGGTGCGGTTTACAATTACAACCGATTATTGACCTATTACTGAGCTCTGATTATCAATCTGCAAGTTGTGAGCAATAACCAGCACTGGCATTTTGCACCACCAAGAACATTTCTCTTCTCTCTCATTTCTCAACACGATGGGAACGAGGTTTTGAAAAAAAGTTCCTACGCGGACAAGAAAATGTCTGTGGTTAATTTTGAATAAAAAAGACAATCTTATGACGTTATGTTGTAGTGTGTGTCATGACAAATCTCAATTTGACAATTGTACATATGGACGGACGAGGGTCTGCAGAGTGTACAAAGTTCGTCACAAAGTTTGTCAATGTATGCTATCAGTATCAATGTGCCAGCTATGGCAGGTATGTATCATGAACTCAGTGCTGTAAGTGGTGTAAATGTTAATCTAGTAATCAAACAAAGGTTTTAAAAACTGATAAAGTGAAAACATGGCTGTTATATCATCTTAATAGCGATCTTAGTAATTTTTTTACACCAAATCGGATGTAGACTAAGGCATAGTGTTTGGAATTGGTTAAAATCTCATAATTGATGATTGGTTCATTACAACCGATCAATCATCGAAAATAATTGGTTAGCATCACTTATGAAAATTGTTAATGAACAAACAAATAAGGAAAAACACATGTAAAGTACTGTCGGAAATGCTAGAAAAATGCTTTTTAGCCTTATTATCTTTATAAAGGTGATAAATGTACTATGTTGTCAATATATCAACTCGCCTATTGTCTACCTAATTTTTATTTCAATCGATTTAACATTCCCATGTATTTAAAGGGCAGTTTACAGGAGAGAATTTGGTACCAAAACAGCAACTTAAGACTCTGAAATAGTCTTTACATTTATGCTAATAATACAGGTGGTGTAAAAATATGAATTAACGTTTTTCCTAAACAAATAAATGTTGAATGTTTGAGTACTTTACTTAATTATCGTTTTCTTTATTGAAGAAATATTAATATAAATGTTAAGTCTTGAATAATAAGTTTCCCGTCATGCATGCACATCTTTATCACAGCGTCCACTATGGCCAACGATTTGCAGTCGATTGTTGCAAAGGTTTATAGTTTTTTTCAGCTTAAAAAAGACAGAGGTAAACCTTTCATTAGTGTAGAGAGGGTTTATTACAGAACTTGTAGAGCTGTGGGCATGTCTTACCAACAAGTTTACAATATTGTAAACAAATCAGACAAGACAGGGACCGTCTCATATGCAAAACCGGGACGAAAACCATCCTTGACAACTTTGACAAGGGAGTGCTTAGGACGGCGGTCTACAAACTTTATGAAAAGAAAAATATATATAATATATCTTTGGCCAACTAGATTAAACTGACCGAATTACATCCATATTTTTTCAATGAACTATACTGTTGACATACAAAACATTTATTAAAAGCGCTGCACATTTCTACAATCAATCGATAAGATAACACAAGTGATAGGATTCTTTCCAATGTACAGTAATTGTATGTTTATTTCAAAACAAACACACATTCACAAATGATCCCTTACAAAACCAATACGTATACAATACGTACACATATTCAACATTTTGCAGAAAACATCTATTGATATGACCCCTTGCCCGAGCGTGTGCTCAGGTGTTAATTTCACCTGTCGATACCGTGCATGCTGATGACGTAATACAGGCAGTTAATGTTTGTTTCAAATAACGTCCAACTACCCCTTATTTTTCTAAGTTTTTTGGTATTTTCATCAGTAAAAACACAGTTTAGAGCATGTCTCCAAATTTATTCCCTCGGTCTACATTAGGTAGATGTTTCTTGAAGTGATATTTGTTATTTAAGTAACTGTAATACCTCTGAATTTTAAATATAAGTCAAAAAGCATTTTTCTAGCATTTCCTACAGTACTTTAGTTCCTTGGGTTTTATTTGGGCAAAATTTCACATCTTTAAAGGATGACTAGCATGTTAGGAACATAAATTTCTTGGAGTGTTTAAGATAAATTCAATCATGACTTAGAATGAGCTTGTAGTGCTTATGAATTGTAACAGACAAAACCAACCTTGTGAAAAATATTGTTAATGAAAACAGGTATTCCAGAATTGTTTGTGCTCGTTTTGAGTAAACATGATGGATTGCTTGGTCGTTTAGTCACTACCACCAATCATCAATTATTTCAATTAACCACTACTAAGGCACATATTTCTTACAGCCCAAGTGGATAAAGCTGTATTAGCTTTTAACTATAATTTAGCATTATTAGTTATTCATCTTTAAATTGGAGGATTTTGTCTTATCTCTATTATAGGATAAAAACGTCGCACCTTTTAAACTTATTATTTGAAATGATATCCAGATTTTAAAAATATGGTGGGTATCAATAAGTATAGATATCCACTTGAAATTGGAAATACCCACTTAGTTTAAAAAGTATGGGTATCATACCCACATGGCCAAATGCTTATCTGGCGCTCTTGCTGTAGAATTCATGTATACGTGAAGCCAGGATTTGATCAGTAAATAAGGATCTGGACACCTGGGATAATCATGCTGTGCTTGTAAATGTTTTTTTAACAACTATTTGTGAGAAAGCAACTCAGACTTTATTTGATAATATGATCCATGCTCAAAGAGCCAAGTTTGGAATCCTGGACTCAAGTTTAAGCACTGACTAAGTTTTTGTGGCAGATATCAATAGTCTGTGTAGTAAAGTCCAGTCGGAAATAGAAAAAAACTATTTTCTCATTTCTCTATACAATTTATGTAGTTGATATGTGCAAGTGTGAAATATATGTTAAACTAAGTTCGGCCTAACTACAGTCTCAGTGGTAGGGACATAGGAAACGTAGAAAAGGGACTTTACTGAGGAGAGATTAGTGCAGAAATGAGCAATGCGTTTTTTCCTAAGTCCAAAATGATTTATTTGGAACAGACCATGGCTTTATGCAATTAGTGTGCAACTTTATTGTATTACTAAGGACACTTTTTAAATGCCCAATTTGAAATTAGACGTAGCTTCATTATAAACGATGGCCGAGGTAAAAAATAATAACTTTCATGACATATGTATTTGCAGTTGTCTAAATATTAGGGATACAGAGTAACAGCATAAAAACAGTTTTTCCTATTTCCGACAGTACTTTAGTAATAGTACTAGTAGTAGTTAAGGCAGCAGATGAGGCATTTGCAACACTGATTTGGTAGTGGTCTGCAACAACCAGGAGCACTTTTGAATTATCTCCTTTTGTTTATATTGATAACCATAGGAGACATAATTTAAGTGGGGTGCTATTCAGAAAAATATACCAACAAGATTAAGATGGGAGCAATACAAGACCTTTACAACCTGATTTCCTGCTAGCCTCTCAGAGATTCTGAATACAATAATTGTGTCGCATTAAAATAAATGCAATTGTCTGACTTCAAGCTGGACAGTCATGACTATAAAACATTTGTCACAGGGCCTGTTGCAAAATCCTGCTGCCACATATTTGACTTTTTCGTATTGCCTTCTGTAACTGGAAACCAAAAACTGTTTCAATATAACCAAGTTCTTATCACTGATCTTGAGAGCCTATTTACCGATTTTAAAATTCAATCCAGTATGTATAATGAATTCTTGGTCAACAATGCTTTCCAATAAAGAAACATATCTGAGCTACCAAGTCTCACCTGTAACTTGTCGAAGCTGGAACTACTACTTCCAAAGCTGCCCATCCCACCAAGGCTTGATGTTGAAAAGCTTGACATTCCGCCATAGCCGCCGGAGGAGCCAGAATCTTGGTAATACCCAGTGTAGTCATAGTCAGAGCCATAACGACCAGAACCACCGGATCGGCCTGCACTGCCACTGCTGGTGGTGTAGGAGTCGCCGTAGTTATAGCTGCTTGAGTAGTTATCCCCACTGTAGCCTCGATTGCGTGGCATCTCGGAGATCTGTAAAGACATTCTTTCTGAAATGAGACCAGAGAATTTCACCACCATGCTTACACTGTGCGGAATAGTTTCCAAACGTTGCAAGCCAGTCGGGCTAGCTATGCCTGAAGTTACTAGCCCACAGAATAATTCAATAGTCCGGAATTTGAATGTAGACACAGGTTTCATCGTCAAGCTGCTAATATGATGATAATCTTTATCAGGCCATAATCTTGCATGATCTAAAAGTGTATTATAACTTAACAAGTTGGAGAGGGTGATAAATTTACAAAATGATTCCATGAAAATTCACTAGCCAGTTGGGCCAGTGACTGGAGACTTACTGGCCTGACTGGATTTTTACTAGAAATGGGCTAGCGGGCCAGAGGCTAAAGTGCTGACTGTACTCACTATAAGAATAACAGTATGCTGCTATGTCAGTGAATGTGTTAATGGGTCATCAGCAATAATCAAACTTCAGGGGTGGAAATAACTTTAAAATTGATAGTGTACTCCGGTACAGTGGCACATGTAATGTCACTTGCCCTGATAATTTTTCCACTAGACTGATTGTTTTCCTGCTGAGTTTTTAAATAAACAACATAATTAACATTGGAAAGTCAACTGGACACCGGTACAGTGTGATATACAAATTTGCTTGCCTGACAGATAAAAACACTGGACTCGGACGTCGGGCAATGGGTTATTTCCACCCCTGAACTTGATCAGTACAAAGAGAAAATAATCACACCTCAACCAGGAAAACAACGCCCACGAGTGGTTCACAGCTGTGAATTGCTGCAAAACTGGCGTTGTTGCATAAAACAACTTTCACTTACTAGTCACTCACTCTCAACTAAGTCATTAAGTCTGCCAAAAGAATACATATCAGTCATACAGTGACCATTTCAACCAAGCCATTCAGTCTATTAAAAGCTGAACCATTTCAGTGGACATCTATTTTAAAAAATCCAACTCAATGAGAAGGGCAACATCAACTCGGGTTAAGATTGACTTAAACATGATTATTGTTATTTTCTAAATGTAAACACTTTCTGTGAACTTTCCTGACAGCAAACACTGTAAAATTATCAATGGCTAGTATATCTTCAAATGAATAGCCATAATACTTTTGTCATCATTTGTTGGACCCGTTGCATGAACATTAATAAATTACTTCTAAACCATTCTAAAATGTCAAAGGGCCATCATGCGTAAGAGACGAGATTCTGATGTATACAACAAGTCACAAAGTTACAGTGAACTTTTTGCTGTTCAGTGTGTTTTCACGTTCAGAGGCTCATATCTTTAATAAATTACTTGACACAGATCTTCGATGTAAGTTGTTAAATCCTTCATATATGTTGATACTGACTCAAACTTTTGATTGTCATGATTACAGAACAAAACAATACAAAAAGGTTTCAGATATATGAGTTTTATATCTTGTGCTGCATGCCTCAACATCGTGAATGATAATTTTACATACCAAGATATCTCTACTATATCCATGTGCAAGAAAGTAATACCAAAATATTATGTCAGACAATTTGATGTTTTACTTTTAGCTGTGGCCATGATGTTTTATCTTTTGTGGCCATTTTGTATTTGATGACATGATTGAGAAGGAAAATGACAAATACACATGTGAAAACAAAGGATTTTCCAGATCTTGAGGACAATCTTCAACACTAAATCTGCCTCTGGCTCTCACTTCACCTGCCCCTTTGATCTTAAGGTGTAGTTGTTAGAATCACACTGATCACATTATCCTTTGCATCCCCTTTCAGATCAAGCGTTCCTTTAGTTTACAATGGCCCTTATGATTATTTAGGATATTGGTTTGGGGTCAGCTACCTCAATTAGAAGAAACACTATGTTTTCATCCAGCTTCGTCAAGAAAACGGGAACTAGTCAAATGGACCGAGAAGTGCCAAGTCAAAAGGGCCCATGGAAAAAGTCAAAAGGGTCAAGGTGAAAGTAAAATGGGCCGTGACAAAAAGTCAAAAGGGCCTTATTCCTAGTCATATAGGCCGAACAGAATAAAGTTTAGAAAGGTTTTACATTATTTATTGACACATATAGCATTGAAACATAATATCATCATAACATTAATAAAATGGTAATGGCATGGTAATAGCCAAGCATGTAGCCAAGATTTCATGTAATGGCAATACATATAGTTCATAATTTACTTAATTAACACAAGTTCACATAATTAACAAAAACAATATAATGGTAATTTACACAAGTTCATTCGTTCATAATTTTAACTGGTTCATTGAGTTCAGCTGTGAGTTGTTTATATCGACACTTATGGAAAGTGATATCCGGCAATCAGTGTTCACGAATGGTGTTTCAAAGTCACAGGACATTGGGTCCTGTAAGTTTCAGATGTCTGTCTGACCCATTGAAAATGCACAGGACCCATGGCATAAAATTAAACACACATTTCAGATTTAATATTTCTTATAATTGACATTGAAATTATTAACAAACATAAGATTTATAAACAGCAAACAAGTGTCACATGTCACATAAAACAACTTCAGTCAAAGTCATTGTGAAATATTCAGTCAGATACTGGGGCCGGCGGGTTGTAGACTTCTGTCTGACCGTTGGCAAATCTGCCGGATTTGTCAGAGGGTCAGACGCTATTCGTGAACACTGGGCAATGGATGCAGTAAAGACGAGCTTTACATTTATCAAATGTATGGTTATTTCTGCCGCATTTAGTGCAATGTTGGTTTTCTGTACAATTTTTGTGAGTATGGGCATATTGGAGACACTTCGCAAATGGTATATTTGTTGACAGAATAGTGCCTTCGAAGTTAAGAACTACATACTGTAAACGTATTATATTTCGCGCAGGTTTTTTTTTCGCGCTTTTCGCGCAAAACATTTTAGTGCGAAAATTTATACACCGCGAATAAACCTGTCATTCATTCAGTCTAGCCACGTTCGCCCCTGAGTTGTTACCATAACACATCAAGTTTGAAGACAGAAATCTACGGGAATCTTAAAATGGCGACTGATAGTAGCATAAAGAATCATACTTAACTGTCGCTATAATGGATTTCCCAAAACATAATTAAATAATGAGCCAAATCCCATCGCCGAATTAGCGTAAACAGCAATGTGTCTTGTGGCCGCCAAGGAAATTGGTCACATGACAGATGGTTTGATACAAAACAGATTACCATGAAACGACTCGGAAAGAAATAATACAGCAGTATTTTATTTATTCATTAAGATTTTATTTACCAGTACATCATGAAGCTTAATAGTCACTTAACACTCAATCATCTCATTCACAACAACCCGGCTTGTTTGAAATCACAAAGAGCTTCATATACAGTAGAAGTTAATTCGTCAGATCGTCAGAATTCGGAACATAAGACTGATGTGTTTTTCATCTCTTCCATGAGTAAACGGATTACTGTGTACTAGTATATCGCACAGATAGGGATTTCCGGTGAGTAAGCAATAAACGCCGCCTGACAGGTTAAGCCACTCTGTTTGTTTTCACTGCTATTAGTGGCGGCCAAAGAGACAGCTGGCAGTTCCGGCAATTACTGATTGCGCGAATAATTGACCGCACGATGTAGTCTAAACTGTCAATTCCTCGTAAATTGCACTACACGAAAATAAGTACGTTTACAGTAGTTGGTTGTTTTTTCTTTTGACATGATTCTGTTGGCAGAAATAATTTTAGTTTGTGTTTTGTTGTTATTAGCTGTTTGGACGAGAGAATCTAGTTGTGTTATTGTGGAGTCTAGTTGTATAGCCCTTTTTATTTGCTGAGTCCAGTTAGGTGTTACAACTTTAACAGGAATATTTCTGATTTTGTTTATTGCTTTGTAGTTTGGTTCATAAGCTTTTTGTGTGAACTGGATAAGATATCCATGTCAATTGAAGTGATTTCATTAGTTAAGACACTGAGTCGAGAAACTTTACAATAAAACGTTAAGACTCCCATGTTTTAATTAGATTTGGATTAAAAACTTACAACAAAAAGCAAACATCCCATACGGATTAGTCATGATACTGAATCAAGACGCTTCACAATGAAAACATTTGATTCTCATGTTCAAATTCCATTCAAAATAACAACTGAACACTATTTTACTATGTAATTATCAAATTTGTATTTTTCGGCCCTTATTTCGGCCGTTTTTACTTTTCATTATGGCCCATTTGACTACAACCCAAGAAAATGGAAACTGTTGGTGAGCATGAAGGCAAACAATGTGATGCAGATGACTTGGTACTAAATGAGCACTTATTATTTGTGATCTGGTGGTTTGTTGTGGGCTAATTAGATTTGTAAAGCTGGGCTTTTTGGGCCTTCACGTGGTACTAGTGCAAATTGGAATAAGTGCAATACACCAACAAGTGTATATACAAATTGCAGGCCCCAAATTGCATCAGCCTATCAACAATCGTTATCACAAACTTCCTCGTCTATGAAAGTAACACGATATAGACAGTCTAATTAACAATGTTGTCGAAGCGATAATTTCTTTGTCGTGAACTGATAACCTACGAACTACACTGACCACCACAACACCGAAAGCTTCATAGCATGCTTTATCTCAAATGAAGCCATGACACAGAAAAGATAAAAAAAAATTCTCTCCTGATCGCAAGCGGAAACCTGAGCCATGGACCGAAAGGGGATAGTAAGATAGAACATACCACGCCTCTTTGTTACAACGTAAAAAGGGTCTGCAATGAAACTTTATTGTTGAAGTATATCGGTTAAACACATGCCCGGATTCAAAGCACCTGGAAATCAAACTACAACAGTCCACGCCGACTGTTTCTTGGAAACGAATACCGTGCGACCTAATGAGCACGCGACGGCTAGAAAATAAAAATGGCTTCCCATCGCAATTCCTCAGAAATGCGTGAAGTGAACGTTTAAACGTATACAATTAAATGATTATCTATAACATAATAAATACAATAACCATTTTCACGTGCATATCTTATTAGAGCTACTTACATTGGTCAAAATATGACTATTTTCAGAAATTCTGTGTTGATTCTGCAAGCGTGTCCTTCCTTCCCCACGCAGTTACTCTCTGACCCTGCTTATTATGGACTTGGGCCCGTCTCGGAATGTCTTTTGTCAAGCGGCAAGTGTGCGCAGAGTTATTGAAACATGAAATTCTGTCAAAACCACGCGTATTGCGATATATTTACAAAAAGAATAAATCAACCTTTCTTAGCTTATTTTATATCATTTGTGTCAGAAATGTCAATAGATATGTGTATAGGATTAGTAGCAGCTTGAGCAAGAGAGTATAAAGACATGGTAGTAATTGTGTGACAACTATTCTTAATTTCAGTGTTGGTGTGGAGTTTGGAAAATGTGCAGCGGCCTTTATTTCTATAGCTTATAATTCATGTAATTCGAGTGAGTTTGAAACGTAAAAAGAGTAATCTTTTTAAAAATGCATATTAATTTGAATAAACTGCGGGTTACAATATATATAAGTAATGCAGAATAATTTATTAGGAACTGATATTCAGTTACTGACATCTTCCATAAAAATGTATGAGCCAGCCAAATAAAATACAATTTTGTTGTGTTTTTTATATAATTTTATTTTGAAAGCATTTTACAGCATTTTCATAGAATTCAACATACGACAGCCAAGTGCGGACATAAAACAAAGGAGATTCACATAAACAGATTATGGAATAAATATAGTACGAATGATCGTTTACTTATTGCACCAGTCTGTCAAAACAGCTATGAGCTCTTATAAGTGTGCCTGTGAGCTGATGCTTGTAAACGTGGCTTTGTAGTTCAAGCCCACTGAGGTACAATGAGACACGTGACATGACGTCATATGTGCCTGTTGCTGATGACTTTCTCTTCGATTTTACCTCATGGATTCTGAAGCAATAAAAGATGTCCCTGATGTCATTTCTGAAATGGATGTTAGACCGTATCAATACGATCCAAATTTTACGTCTTGCAAGACAATCTTCCAGTGAAGATGAAGAAGAATCAAGTGAAACGGAGGCACCGCTTGATGTCAAAACAATTTTATAAATAGGCCACATAATCAATCAGGAATATTATTTGTCAGCAAAATGTGATACAGTCCAACCAGCACACCCAACCCTATAAATAAATGACCAGTCTAAGAAAATATGTTTTTGAAATGTGATTGCAGTTTCTTTTGTGTCAAATGGTTGACTGTAGGGTGTCTGGGATTTAAAAAAGTTATTATGCTTCAAACGGGGGAACATAGAGATTAATCTGCTGCAAAAAATTTAGGATCCTAGTTCTCATTAATAACGTATCAAGTTTCCATACAAGATCCCACCCTGGTCGAGCAGAGATAATATAAGCGACGCAGATAAGTTATTCGGGGCGGTGGGGTAGCCTAATGGTTAAAGCGTTGGCTCGTCACGCCGAAGACCCGGGTTCGAATCCCCACATGGGCACAATGTGTGAAGCCCATTTCTGGTGTCCCCCGCCGTGATGTTGCTGGAATATTGCTAAAAGCGGCGTAAAACCAAACTCAGTCAGTCAGATAAGTTATTCCCCCAAAACTGATGAATTATATAATACTAGTCAGGAAAATGTCTATTTCCCTAGTTTTTGCATATGTAAATAGTTATAGAGCTCGGTCATAACCTTGAATATCAGAATCGCATCTTGTCAACCAATGAGAATACAGAAGAACTTTCACTGCACACGTGCACACTACTGACAATTAATAGCGAGTCAGATGCCGACGTGCGTAATTGGACAAAGCAGAAAACAATGAATGTAACAATTTAGTACTTCATGATTTGCGGTTGTATTCGGCAATTTTTCGGGTAGACTGCAGCATTTAGGGCTCCAAACCGGAACGAACGTTATATATTGAAACATTTGTTTCAAGCTAATGTGAAATCTCTTACTGATTTTGATAATATATATCTCATGGGTACCAGTCGAACTGCCCCAGCAACAAAATGCCCCAGACATTGTGGTCATTCATCCTAATTTGGTCAAATGTATTTGAAGGGATTAAATATAGGCCCTATACAATAAATACATAGCTTTTGTCAACTTTGATATTATGTTCTTCATAGGTTATTACGAAGTAAAATGTCTGATAAATGTTCCTTTAGTCATCTCATAACTATGCATGTATAACTATTATATGAAGAACATGATATCAAACTTGTCAAAACTATGCATTTATGGCAAATATTTAATCATTTTAAATAAATTGGGTCATTTTGACTACCCCCTGGGGCAATTTGACCAGAAATCCGGGGCAATTTGACCAAATTTGCTGGGGCATTTTGTAACTGGGGCAATTCGACTGGTACCCTATTACATCACAATCGGACTTGATTTAATCTATGTTAAAAATGAGTAAGTTGTAACATGGAATGATACACGTAAATGAATCTCGTGGGTACTGTTTCCTTCTTCAGCAGTACTTTTGGATTTTCATACCACATGTCTGCATGTCTCTTTCATATGCACAAGTCTCGAAATGATCGAACATTTCTCCTGCCTAAATCTATCGTTTTACTTGAAAACCCGGTGGCTCTTTCCATTGTTCCAGACCTGTTAAGGTCCGGGTTAGAATATTTAACCCATGCTTGTCGTAAGAGGCGACTAACGGGATCGGGTGGTCAGGCTCGCTGACTTGGTTGACGTATGTTATCGGTTCCCAATTGCGCAGATCGATGCTCATGCTGTTGATCACTGGCTTGTCTGGTCCAGACTCGATTATTTACAGACCGCCGCCATATAGATGGAAAATGGCTGAGTGCGGCGTAAAACTAAACTCACTTACTCACTCACTCCATTGTTCGATGATGCTGTGAATTCCCAGGCAACCCAATACATTATCGTACCACTTACAAAAACGACAGAAACAACACATTTGTATTACTGTAGCGCTTGGTCTTTGGCAATATATGGCGGACTCTTGTCATATTTGACGTCACGAGCGGAAAGGTCACGTGAGTTCCAGCGGAATATGCATCATGGCCGAAGCTCAGATACCAGAAACTGTTTTCGCGATTAAAACATAAATAACCATATTTTGTAATTAAAAATCTGGGTACATGTTTCTGATGACTTTATCTTTCACTCAGCAAATTATTGAAATTGTCTGGTATTCTCCTTTAACTGTCGGGTGTTTCCGTAACAGGCGGAAATATGAGTACGTTTTTTGTGTGTTTCTTGCGTTTTTACCAAATTTGGGTGCAATTTTAATCACGGGAGGTGACTTTTAGAATGCCTTTATATGAACAGATTTGTTTTCGTTAGTATTCTCCTTTAACATCTTGAGTGAGATCTTGAATAAAATATGTTGTGAGATCTTGAGTGAGATCTTGAGATCGTGAGGTCTTGAGTGAGATCTTGAATAAAATATGTTGTGAGATCTTGAGCGAGATCTTGAGTGAGATCTTGAGATCGTGAGGTCTTGAGTGAGATCTTGAATAAAATATGTTGTGAGATCTTGAGCGAGATCTTGAGTGAGATCTTGAGATCGTGAGGTCTTGAGTGAGATCTTGAATAAAATATGTTGTGAGATCTTGAGCGAGATCTTGAGTGAGATCTTGAGATCGTGAGGTCTTGAGTGAGATCTTGAATAAAATATGTTGTGAGATCTTGAGCGAGATCTTGAGTGAGATCTTGAGATCGTGAGGTCTTGAGTGAGATCTTGAATAAAATATGTTGTGAGATCTTGAGCGAGATCTTGAGTGAGATCTTGAGATCGAGTGAGATCTTGAGTGAGATCTTGAGATGTGTGAGATCTTGAGTGAGATCTTTGAGATCTTGAGATCGTGAGATCTTGAGTGAGATCTTGAATAAGATATGTTGTGAGATCTTGAGCGAGATCTTGAGTGAGATCTTGAGATCGTGAGGTCTTGAGTGAGATCTTGAGTAAAATCGTGAGTGAGTGGGATCATGAGTAAAATATCGAGTGAGATCTTGAGATCTTGAGTGAGATCTTGAGATCTTGAGATCTTGAGTGAGATCGTGAGGTCTTGAGTGGGATCGTGAGTGAGTGGAACAACATCATCATTATACAATAGTGACACACAATACAAATAGGACTTGAAGTATGACAAAGTGTGTGTACGTATCCCTATACTGCATTCTGTATGTTGTAATGTTTTTGTTTTGACGAGCGTCCTTCTAATACTAACATGAAATGCGTCTCTAACACTACCTGTTAGCATGTATTAATTGTTTTATTGTTGTGACCATGTTTCTAACCCTTTAAACACTGATCAAACGCATTTCAATTCATAAAATGATAAAATTCATAAAAAAATCATTTGTTGTCAATAAATACACGAAAAACAAATCTTGTAATTCCACGGCATGGGCAAACATATGGCAATGTCTACTGTAGATCCTTGAAATCTTAAACTATGCATTATAGGATGAATTACATGCTGGCATTGTTTGTATGTTAAAAGGGAAGGAAATATATGAAATACGTCAAGTAGATGCCTTTTATGTAAGATATGTTATGTAAGTCGTGTTGAGGTTAATAGTACACATTAGAAATAACTACGCTTCGTCGGCAGCGTGACCGGCATTTGGTGAACAAAATAGGTCTGTGTGGGAACGTTGATAACATGAACTATTCGTAATGCAAAGTACAATTGAGTGCATGGAATCTGGTTATAGCTTAATGTGTACTTGATGATCTGGAATATGAATGCTTCATCCAGAATATTGCATTATTATCTTCCGTTCGTATTTCGATCAGCTCACTTCACATAACTCTACATGCGTACATTTTGGATCGCACTGCGCAAGTGTAGCAGCTAGTCTGAATAACAGGTCCTGTCCTTTCTTTGTGCCCAATAACATCAGTTTAAGACAGTAGTCCATATTTATATTTATTTGAAATCATGCATCGTAATCAGATCTGACAATGGTCATTTGATATTACCATGCATTTCTCGAGAAGATAATATGCCTACAACAGTGTGGTTAGCTGCGTTGAAGGGGTCGTTGTGTACCCCAGGTACGTTTCTGTATACAGAAGCGTACCCTTACCCAAACCCCAAACACAAACACACACACACACACACACACACACACACACACACACACACACTGGGAGGTGTAGATTTGTCACTGTGCAGTTTTCTTGAACTGTCAATCAGTTGTATAGCTTACTAGATACATTTGGCGGTGGGGTAGCCCAGTGGTTAAAGCGTTTGCTCGTCACACGGAAGACCCGGGTTCGATTCCCCACATGGGTACAATGTGTGTAGCCCATTTCGGGTGTCCCCTGCCATGATATTGCTGGAACTTGGAATATTGCTAAAAGCGGGGTAAAACTCAACTCACTCATTCCAAGTGAAATATGCAACCAGAGACAGGGACCTGAGTTTGTTACATCCATTAGTTTATTTTTATGAGCTCATTAAGATCCTGGTTAGAATTGGTCTTCAGCAACCCATCCTTGTTGTAAGACTCAGGCGGTTAACGGAATCGGGTGGTCAGGCTTGTTGGCTTGGTTGACACATCCCAAAAGCATAGCTTCATGCTCATGCTGTTGATCACTGGATTTTCTGGTCTAGTCTTGATTATTTATAGACCGCTTTCATATAGGTGGAATATGCTGAGTGCAACACAAACAAGTTAGTTTCCTAAGTTGGTTACTACAATCAAAAAGTAAAACCTATATGATTCAAAACCTTAGGGTTGACCGCCTCCGTGGTGTAGTGGTTAGAGCGTCCGCCCGGAGAGCGGAAGGTCGCGGGTTCGATCCCTGACCGCGTCATACCAAAAGACGTTAAAATATGGTACTTGTTGGTCTCAGTCTGGCGCTCGGCATTAATGTGTACAACAAGGACCGGTCGGCTCGGAGTCGGTATAATATGTCTGAGTGGGGTATTCATGCTTAACTGCGGCATGGTATCTCAGTGAGCTAGCACTATAAAACCAGCTTAAGTCTGGGCTAGTGCAAGCAGCTGCACATACACATACATACACACGCATGCACATCGTCACATAAGCGAAATATTCTCAAGCACGACGTAAAACCCAGTTTCACCTCACCTCAATTTGCCAATAACAGTGATGAGCTGTGTTCTCCATTGATACATGTCGTACTGAGCCCAAATACTTACACAAAGTGAACCAAGTAATAGGGTGATGTTACTGGAGGTTTATGATACAGGACCTGGTTACCCTTGTGGAATGTTGGATTGTTGAAGTACAGGCACTGAACAGTCAATCCTGAAGTATACCCGTGAAGGTCCGGGTTAGAATATTGATCTTCAGCCACCCATGCTTGTCGTAAGAGGCGACTAACGGGATCGGGTGGTCAGGCTCACTGACTTGGTTGACACATTTTATCGGTTCCCAATTGCATAGATCAATGCTTATGCTGTTGATCACTGGATTGTCTGGTCCAGACTCATGTAATGCCGGGGGATATAGTCGACGCCTCATCCGTCCGTCCGTAATCATTTTTTTTCCAGAGTATAACTCAAAAACCGTTCAATATTTTTCAACAAAAATTGGTAGATATATCAAACAGATACATTGTATATGTTCTCTGACTTCAGTTTGTTGCTGTTCGTTCGTCACACTGAAGACCCAGGTTCGTCTCCCTCAATGGGTACAATGTGTGAAGCCCATTTCTGGTGTCCCCTGCCGTTATATTGCTGGAATATTGCTAAAAGCGGCGTAAAACCATACTCACTCACTCGGTTTGTTGCTGTACCTGTGGGGGCGGTGGGGTAGCCTAGTGGTTAAGGCGTTCGCTCGTCACGCCGAAAACCCGGGTTCGATTCCCAACATGGGCACAATGTGTTTAGCCCATTTCTGGTGTCCCCTGCCGTTATATTGCTGGAATATTGCTAAAAGCGGCGTAAAACTAAACTCACTCACTGCTGTACCTGTTGTGGTACTCATATTAATAATGATTGGAGCTGTTGGGCAGTTTTGTGATGAAAGCATTCGCCTGCCACGCCGAAGGCCTGGGTTCTATTCCCCACATGAGTACAATGTGAGAAGCCATTTCTCTTCTCCTCCAGTGTAACATATTGCTAAAAGCAGCATAAAATTAAAGTCACTCACTCATCCTAATACTTAGGTTGGTATTGTTTCAGATCTAATAGAGATACCTGAAAAACATTACGATGTACGGTCGTCAAGGACAAGGCAGATTTGGGAGTGGGAATGATATGATGTGGAATGACGATGGCAACATGGACTATGAGGTGGGAGGCAGGAATGTTCAGCGGTCAGTCGGAGGATATCTGGAAGAAAACCCGGACTTTGGTGGAGGTTACAGCCAAGATGATGGGGGATTCGGAAGTGGAAATACAATGGGAAGTCATGGTAGCATGAAGCGGAATATGGGCGGTCATAGTCGAATTATGGGGGGTCAGAGTGGAATGGGAGGTCAAGGTCATATGAGGGAAGGTCAGAGTGGCATGATGGGAGGTCAAAGTGGGATGATGGGTGGTCAAAGTGGGATGATGGGAGGTCAAAGTGATATGAGAGGGGGTCAAGGTCGCATGATGGGGGGTCAGAGTGGTAATATGGGCGGCCAAGGTCACATGATGGGAGGGCAAAGTGATATGAGAGGGGGTCAAGGTCGCATGATGGCAGGTCAAAGTGGGATGATGGGAGGCCAAAGTGGAATGATGGGAGATCAAAGTGGAATGATGGGTAGTCAGATGGGATTAGGAGGTGGCCAGCAGTCCATCAGTGGACAAAATAATAATGAATTGGTAGAATTGTTAAAGAAACAGTCAGACGTAATCAATAAACTCAGTGAGAAGATTGGCCTTGACACTGGTTACGGTGATCAAACATATGAAAGCGGTTATGGCGGCGAAGATTACTATGGCGATGGAGGTGGTGAACAATATTATGGAAATGAATATGACCGAGGTTATTATGAAGAAGATTATGGATCATATTTTGATGGTCCTAGGGGTGGTCCAAGGGGTGGTGGACCTTACAGAGGCCAACGATCCAGAATGATGCGAGGTGGACCTATGAGAGGCGGACCAATGCGGGGGGGATCAAGAAGAGGAGATTTCATGCCTCCTCGTGGAGGGTTCACTCCAGGCCCTGGAGGGAGAGGAGGCATGAGGGGGTCGCCAGGGAAACGAAGAGGCGACTTCCAGGGAGACTTTGGTGGGAAGAGACAGCGGATGGACAATGAGGTAATATACAGCTTCAAAATCACAAATTTGAAAACGTTTATTTTGTGGTGCCTTTTAAGAAGTGTTGGCCGGTGAAACAGCTATAGATTTGAGTATTTATATGCCACAATAACACTGTATTATGGACTTTTCCTACTTTTCCATGACCATTTTTGACATTATGTTGAAACTTTTCCTGTTGTCTTTGAGGTTTCATAAAGATTGACAGATATATTTATTCAAATCTTTCTTTTTTGCATGAATAAGGAAAATATTGTACTTTAGGGGTGCGTTCGTTTTGTTTCACACAAGTGCTTGCTTGTGTGCATGCTCAGATAGCCACCTCGCGCAAACGTCACATTGCTCAGCTGGGTGACACACTCAGTTGACTGTTTACAAACAAATATTGATTGTGAAAATCATTTTAGGTCAGTTGATTAAAACTATGTCTGTAAAATTATTTTCTTGCTAGTAATAGTGGTCTATAGACATAGACATGATGCAACGTCCGAATATGACTCATACAGGTCTGTAACACTCATTTGCGACCATCTGTTAATGAAATCCAATTAACCAAAACCAAAACAACAGCTTGGTTGATTACAAATTAAAGTAAGTCGGGAAATAAGGACGACTATGTTTGGCCTACTTCGCCTATGTTGGTGTAAAGACCATGCCAAATGACGTACTTCCGCCACTCTCACAATCTCCATCCTTGATCTTGTTGGATGGCCCTCTTGGCACTCGAGAGAATGCATGCGAGAGTATGCTCGCGAGAGTATGTATGCGAGAGTATGTATGCTAGAGTATGCATGCAAGAGTATGCACGCGAGAGACGCTCAGGCTGTTCGATTATGACATTCATTGCTCATGCGAGACAATTTCTGCAAAATGAATGCACACTGTGTGTATGAACAAGATTAAAAACCTGGGCCAAGATTTTCGAAGCTCTCTTAGCACTAAGATAGTTGTAAGTTAATGTTAATGCATGGCACTTACGATTATCTTAGGGCTAAGAGAGCTTCGAAAATCTAGGCCCTGGAGTACAGCCTGCAGCCATTGTTCTGATGAGAAGAGGATCAGGGTCACAGCAGACTTCATCCCTAATCTCTAGAATTTGTATTGGCATTGTCACTTTGTATTATATTTTGTATGTGCAACTGAATGTTATGTTCTATTCTATTTCTTCAGGCACAGTCTCGGCGTAAGTAGAACAGTGAGTGAGTTTAGTTTTACGCTGCACTCAGCAATATTCCAGCTATATGGCGGCAGTCTGTAAATAATCAAGTCTGGACCAGACTATCCAGTGATCAACAGCATGAATATCGATCTACGCAATTAGGAAACAATATGTGACAACCAAGTCAGCGAGCGTGACCATCCAATCCCGTTTGTCGCCTCTTGCGACAAGCATAGGTTACTGAAGATCAATTCTAACCCCGATATTCACGGGTTTAAGTATAGTAGGTTGTATGGTGAATCTGGATTAAAATGCTATCTGGTGCTTGCAGTGATTAGCCCACTGCAGTGGGTATTTTATATCCACAATGGCTGTTAAATGGGTTGTGATCAATACACCGGGGTAGACCTGGGCTAAACCTGCCTGCCACACAGTTTAGCAAAACGTTATGCTTATGTGCCGAATTTAATATGTGATCTTAAGTCACAACTTTACAGGTTCACTTCCCTAGCAGCACTTTAAAATTACCAGTCTTTTCAAAATTGGGGACAGATAGGATTAAAGTTTACTGGAATATTTTACTGGTGAAATACTGACAATTACCAATAAACAGAAACACTAGTTTCTAGTAGGGATGTCATGATGCGTATGTTTCATGAATCGATACGTATTGCGATACCCATGTCACGATTCGATAAGTATCACGATGCCTATTTTCGCGGCATTATCGCGTAAATTTAGTTACATTTTGAACATTAATGTTTCATATTTTATAATTGTCCATGAAAAGATCAACATTTTTTATTCTCAGAGATTAAAAAGTTCTAATTTCCCATCTTTGTGTATGAAAACTCTCATAACATCAAAAATCATGACACAATTGCAAAATGTAAACGATGGAATAACATATTTAAACCTATACTTTCAAAACTAAATGTTGATATAGTTTTGAATGTATCGATAATTGTATCGTCTCAGAAAAAGTATCGATGCATCGATGTATCCCTAGTTTCTAGTTTTTAGTTTGCTGAAACTCATATTTCAGGAGCCCGATCTGGTTATGCAGTGAAGACCGCTGAACAAAAGGTAGTTTGAAATTACAGATAGCTTCTATTTCCTCTCTATGTTACAGGGCAGAGGGTCAGGGTATTTTCCTGGGTTCGTTGGGATGTTTGCTCTACAGTTTCAGTTGCCAAAATTAGTGAGTTTGTTTGTTCACAGGTTAAATTCCTTGGGTTTGTGTCTTTATTTGTCATACAGGAATAATTCTGAAGGTTTGCTGGTTTGTAAGATACACAGGTTTAATTCCTGAGGTTTGTGTGTTTGTCTTTCATGCAGTTTTAATTCCCCTGGTTGGTAAGTTACACAGGTTTAATTCCTGAGGTTTGTGTGTTTGTCTGTCAATCAGTTTTAATTCCCCTGGTTTGTAAGATACACAGGTTTAATTCCTTGGGTTTGTGTGTTTGTCTGTCAATCTGTTTTAATTCCCCTGGTTTGTAAGATACACAGGTTTAATTCCTAATGATTCCCCTGGTTTGTAAGATACACAGGTTTAATTCCTGATGTTTGTGTGTATGTCTGTCAATCAGTTTTAATTCCCCTGGTTTGTAAGATACGCAGGTTTAATTTCCTGGGTTGGTTGGCATGTATCTTTCACAGGGTCAGTTGCAAAGGTTGGTGAGTGTGATTTTGTTTTAGATGAAGAGGTTTATTATGACTGCAGCTCTGATCCTGCTCATTATTTACTCAAGTTAACTACACAGAGACAATGTCATCCATTGTTTCCACGTGATGCATGCTAAAGCTGTTATGAATCACTTTTGTATTCAGTGAACTGAACCGTGTCCTTTCATGAATTCAGGGTGCCGTTCCACTAACCGATCTTAGCCCTATGCCAATCGTAAACCCCTAAAATCCCAATCTTACCGTGACGTTACGATCGGCATACCGTTCCACTAACCAATCTTACCTAAGTCAATCGTAAAGTTAAGATTCAAAGTCTAAGTTGCTCATGACCAACTTAGGATAGCTAAAATCAATCGTAGAGAAACCAAAATGGTGGCTTTCCTATTCTATGTGAAAAATAAGAGCGAGCATTTCACCTTGAGCGTCCCCTAAAATCCCCCATGAAATGAATTTGTATATTTCTGTGATGTAACCAAACACTGCACTGAAGCCTTACAAATGTCAGGCCAGTCTGACCACTGTCGTCATGGGGAACACAACCGAGCGAAGTCGGTGTGACACATTTGTACAACAATATTGCAACGTCATGGTTAAGAATAGGGACAGCCATGAAGTGAACAATGTTCTGAAGCAAAAAGATACAAATAGGTTTGATTTCACTGCGCATATTTGGTGGGGGATTCTAAAGGCAAGCTGCGTGTGATTCAAGATTAAATTACATTTGTGACGTCATTCCATTGTCTGCTCGCTCCATTACTTTTCAGGAATGAAGCGATGTGTACCAGCTTCAAATTAAAGACTTCATTTTGTCATTTTGACATATAACTTTGATAACAGAAATATTCCCAATACTTTGAATGTCATTGGATTGTCTGGTCCAGACTCGATTATTTATAGCTAAGATACATAGCGTTCACTAACATGAACGCCATGTTAGTGAACGCAATGCATCTTAGCTAGATTATTTACAGACCGCCGCCATATAGCTGGACTATTGCTGAGCGCGGCGTAAATCTAAACTCACTTCGTAAACTACTTTCCATCATTTGCTAGACTATGCAAAGGGAGATAACTCGTGCCTCGCATTCCTCTATCTCTCGCACGAAAGAGTCTCGATCTAAGCTTGGATCGGATCGTAAGATCGGGACCGGCTATGATCGGCCTAAGATCGGTTAGTGGAACGGGTGTAACTTTTAGCTAAGACGATTGTAAAATTGGCGTAACTTGCTAAGATTGATCTTAGATAAGATCGGTTAGTGGAACGGCACCCAGTTCATTAATTGTTATGACTTGAATCGAATATTCACAACTCGTTTTAATCTATTTAATTTGAAAGTATTGTGGTCGCTGGTCATTGTCGTGACAAATTAACACTTTCAACATGGTCAAAACATCAAAGAATTTATCTTGTTATTTTATGACTGAATATAATGCAGCCAACATAAAGGCGTGACAGGCTATAAAATGTCATAATGGATTCTTCATAGTAGATTCTTTGCAGCCTTAACACATCTGTATATTTATGATGTTTATATATATATATATGTCTATATGTATGTTTATATGTATGTTTGTATTTATGTTTATATGTGTACATTGAATAGTCTTGAATTTTGATGGACTGAAGTTATGCATATGAGGTCGGTGTTTGGTTGATTGGGGTCCACCAAAACCAGTGTGGGAATGAACATTGATATTCATTCCATGAAGTTTGGTAGTAACCATGGTGATGTAAAAACATATAAATCACCATGGCAACAGATGGAATGGTGGATATTCATTCCATGAAGTTCAGTAGTAACCATTGTGATGTAAAAACATATAAGTCACCATGGCAACAGATGGAATGGTGGAAAGTAATTCCACCAAGTTCAGTAGTAACCATTGCGATGTAAAAACATATGTCACCATGGCAACAGATGGAATGGTGGACAGTAATTCCACCAAGTTCAGTAGTAACCATTGTAATGTAAAAACACATAAATCACCATAGCAACAGATGGAATGGTGGATATTCATTTCATGAAGTTCTGTAGTAACCATGGTGATGTATAACATATAGATCACCATGGCAACACTTGGAGACACTGATCCTTTGTTAAAGAGGATCCTGTTTTATTCCTCCCTACAGTGTGAAAATGACGTTATTTCATCAAGGGTACATGGACCAGTTGGTCCATCTGTCGAAGGTTTCGTGTCAGTGGAACATACCCTTCCACTGTGGGTCAGGCAGAAGAAGATGGAGATGTACCATTACCCATCCAGAGGGACATTTGTTCCATCTGAATCATTTTACCAAGGGCAATGTGCCTTTTCTGTTGATATTATATTTACTCCATTCCTTTTTAAGTTTTTTCCCCATATTTTTGTGACAGACCATTTTTGTTAGCTGTCAACAAAGACCTACTAAAATAATGAAACTGTGTTTAAAAATATTTGCTATGAACATCCTCCAATTTTAAGCATCATCGATTGCCCAAGTTGTTATGTCTTCATAACAACTTTGATTATAATAGCGTGGACACAGCTGTGTCCTAAATAGTGTGGACACATTTACTACCATGCCTTGATTTTACGCCCAATTATGGCCTGAACAGAATGACATGCTAAATATAGCCATCCAATGAAATTACACTCCTGAGTGAAGTGTGTGAATGGGACCAGGGTATTTATCGGAATGGAATGGAGATATCATCCACTGGATGGTCTGAGATGAATTCAAAGCACATGAAGTACTGATAGATCATTCTGTCTTTGGTCACCCCAAGGATGGTGATATGTCGATGTTATGAATTTGACATGAAGCTTAAGCTGTTTTAATCTTAATGTATGGACATGGCACTTACTGTCTATCATAGACTTAAGAAAGCTACGAAAATCTAGGCCCTGATTTCTAGAAACCTTGAAGCACTGTGCAGAACAGTGTCTTGATTTAGCATTCAGAGATCTACTGATGCATCTATTTATTGTGAGTCTTAAAAGTATCAGACAGATTGAATAATAGTGTTTGCAGAAAACAGTAAAGATGTCAACTTGTATGTTGGCAGCATCATAGGTAAGTGACAAAGAACACATCTCTTTCCTCTTTACGATTCTTTGCTGGAATTAAGTATCACTCTCTCTGTGGGGCATTGACCCCTATTTTTGTGTGGAGATGTAAAGTATCACTTGGTCTGTGGGGTGTTGACCTCTATGATCCTGTGAAAACAAGCATCACTTGGTCTGTGGGGTGTTGACCCCTTATGATCCTGTGAAAACAAGCATCACTTGGTCTGTGGGGCGTTGACCCCTTATGATCCTGTGAAAACAAGCATCACTTGGTCTGTGGGGTGTTGACCCCTTATGATCCTGTGAAAACAAGCATCACTTGGTCTGTGGGGTGTTGACCCCTTATGATCCTGTGAAAACAAGCATCACTTGGTCTGTGGGGTGTTGACCCCTTATGGTCCTGTGAAAACAAGCATCACTTGGTCTGTGGGGCGTTGACCCCTATGATCCTGTGAAGACATGAAGCATCACTTGGTCTTTGGGGTATTGATGCTAGCTACCCCTTGAAGAAATATCTCAGTCTTGGGGGATTTGACCCCTATGTTTCCGTGAAGACAGTAAGCCTCACTTGTCTTTGTGGCGTTGACCGCTATGATCTTGTGAAGGCTTTCAGCATCATGTGGTTTGTGAGGCATTGATCCTGAAGATCCTGTGAAGAATTTAGAATCTCTGGGGCATTGCTGCCTATGATCCTGTGAAGACATGAAGCATCACTTGGTCTGTGGGGCGTTGACCCCTATGATCCTGTGAAAATAACCCTTTGAAGAAATCTCTCAGTCTTGGGGGATTACCCCCAATGTTTCTGTTATATTTCGCCCCCTTGGTCTTTGGGGCAATGACTCCTATTATCATGTGAAAACAAGCATCACTTTGTCTGTGGGGCGTTGACCCCTACGATCCTCTGAAGACATTTAGTGCTGAGTGGTGCTTTAATCCTAATTCTACAGAAGTATGAATAGGAGATGTGGACTTCTTGGTATAACACATGACTCTACAGTTTTGGCCATTTTTGAACAACACCAAGAAAGTAAGCCTCTTTTACTCCCTAAGCCACAAAGGGAGTGAGCATTGCCCATGTCAAATAAAGAAACGAACATATGTTACAGCACAATAAGTACACATGTGTTTCTTTGGCTCCAGTTTGAGCCATCACTAAGTTCAAAGTCAGAGTTGTCCAAATTTCTCTTTGGAAATGGAATCACATTTTAAATTTGATTTTTAAAAATGAATCTTGATTTGACATTGACATTTAGCGATCACTCCCATCACTCTGAACTGTGGACTCCCTGGTCTTCCTGGTCGGACAGCCTGGTGGTAAGTGTTGACTCAAGCTTTTGTTCACTTTATGATTTAAATAAGATTAAAATTGGTGAAATTATGTGAGAGCAACTGTGCCTGAAATCAACCGATTCTTATTCCAATTCCCAGATTGGCTGATTTAGTCTCATAATATTATCTTGTGAGTCTGTAGCTGCATGAATGGTCCAGTCGTCTTAGGTGCCGCTATTAGCTGCTCTGAAACCTATGATTGAGGGTTCGAATCTAGGCTCTTCTGATCCTTATTAGGTCATTCTTGTGGTTAAAAAAGGTTGTGCCCAGATTGTGGGAACACAGTTTTGAAAGAGATCCAGCCACACTTTGCTTGTTGTTAATTTGAATTCGGTCGTCAGATTGTTTGGGTTATTTGTCATCATATGGTGCACTCTCCGACCCAGAGTTCCATGCGGCCAGCCAGCATAGTACCTCTGCCACAGGCCAGAGAGATGTGACGATTCTTCACATCTTGCACAGTCCATTGAATATATTGTATATATTTCTTAACCCTTTCATTTTTGATGAGCCTTCACATCTACTTAATCTTCTTTGACAGAATCCAAATATCCAAAACCGTGTTACACTATTTCGATTTGCGTAGCGACCTTTTGTTTACATAGGTAATGCGGTTCCAAGTGCTGTCATTGAAGCTCTGTGCAGAGCAAGCGATGCAGCAACTTTAATGTATAAATATGTATTGTCATGAATCCTACTGTCGCAGTTGAAGAAGAATATCTATACAACAATGTAAAACAATATGAAGAGAGCACGAAAAGCTTGCATAAGGTCAGTCTCTTCTGCTTTACATATAAGTGCGTTTGTTTACAAACAAGAGAAAAGTCCGGTCACGTGATATACAAATTAGCCTGTGGAAGTGATGTTATGCTAAGTCATCGCTGCGCCGGAGTGTGCATACGGTGACAATGCAAAGCACTGTTCATAATATCAACCTTGTGACAGCAAGAACATTGCTTGTATAAAGCAAGAGTAATGCTGACTTTGGTGTTCAGTAGGCGAATAAAATGACAACATTATACAGACCTTGCAATACAAGGGTGCTCAGTAGGGGTGAAACGGTATACCACGGTATTAGTAGAACCGCTGTATTTTGCCTTCAGTTTGGTATACTGTAATGCAATCCAAAAATTCGGTTTTCGTACCATCATTTTATTAACCTTTTTAAACCTTTTCTAAATGTCTAAAAATTGAATCATTTTGTCAAAACCTATGACATTTCTTCATCATGATCATATCTGATTTACCGAACTGAAACAGACCGAACCGAAGGCCTTGTACCATAATACATATCGTACTTTGGTAAGAGCGTCCTGTTTGACCCTTAGTGCTCAGGGGTAGATACAGCTCTTTGAGAAAGAGGGGTTGCACACTTCATTTTCACGAGAGTTTCACTGGTCATTGAATAAATTTTCAGGACAAAAGGGTGTGCGCCCCCTGCACACCCCTCTGGATCCACCTAAGGTACTACATTCTTGACAAATACTTCCATTTATCAACCAGGTTCACTGGATGTTGGTTGACGTGGTGAAGATCAGTTTGTTACTACTGAGTTACAAGTAGTTTATTGTATGTTCCATGAAGCCTTTTAGTTTTCAGGGCTGTTGGAGATTCAACAGTTGGTATGTTCAGTCATCAGGCTGAACAAGTGGGCCAGATGCACCAGATGTACTAATATTACACTAGTCAACATGTGATTGCAGTAAAGTTCTAAATGTGACGTTTCAGGGGAGAGAAAGTGAGGACAACAAGAAGGGGACAGAAGCCATGAAGCCCAAGGCCACAGCCACACAGGTTGGTATTTCCCAGTATGATCCCAGTATTCCATGGCTTTAGAATTGCCTACCTTTGGGGATTCTGGATAGGAAACTATCCAAGTATTCCATGGCTTTAGAATTGTCTCCCCTTGGGGATTCTGGGCAGGAGTAGGTCCCCAGTTTTCCATTGTTTTAGAGATGCCTACCCATATTGATTCCAGGAAGGAAATGTTCCCAGTTTTCCATGGCTTTAGAGTTGTCTCCCCTTGGTGGTTCTGTGCAGGATAGGTCCCCAGTAACCATGGTTTTAGAATCGTCTCTCCTTGGGTATTCCTGTTAGGAAAGGTCCCCAGTAACCATGGTTTTAGAGTTGTGTCCCCTTGGAAAAAGTCCATTAACAGCATTCTTGCCTCTCATTCTGAATCACAACAGGTTAGATGGCATAGTTCAATAGTTCAAGTAATCAGTGTTGTTTCTCCTTGTTGATTGGACCAGAAAAGGTCTTCCATACTCTATGCATCTGTTCGTATGTTAAACAGCAAATGCCCACAGGTGGGGGTGGCCTAGTGGTTAAAGCATTCACTCGTCATGCTGAAGAACCGAGTTCGATATCCCACATGGGTACAATGTGCAAAGCCCATTTCTGGTGTCCCACGCTCTGATATTCCTGGAATATTGCAAAAGCAGCATAAACTTAACTCACTCACCCACATTCTTCTTTTCAACCAGTCAGTTTTTTGCAAAAAATTTGCTTGCTCTGTTGTAAACGCTCCAAATCACTGATGATTTATTTATCTGTACTTTGATTTTACTTTGATTTTAAGTGAAGTTTATTTAGCTCTTTGGCTGCTTACATGTACCATGTAATAACATAACTAAGGCAAAGTTGAAGCAGAAAATGCATGTCAACACTTTCATTGTTATCCTGATGACTAGATTGTCTGGTCCAGACTCGATTATTTACAGACCGCTGCCATATAGCTGGAATATTGCTGAGTGTGGCGTAAGACAAAACTCACTCACTCACTTAACATACCAGTTGGATTTGAAAAAATATTTGATGCTTCCATGCTTACCTGTAGGGGTGACTATTGAGGGGGAAACAACTATTGCGATAGCGATAGTCTATTGCAAGTTATTATCCCCCGCCCGCGTTTAGCATGAATACCCCACATTATACTGACTACGAGCCGACCAGTCCTTGTTGTACCCATAAATGTCGAGCGCCAGGCAGGGACCAACAAGTACCATATTTTAACGTCTTTTGGTATGACGCGGTCGGGGATCGAACATGCAACCTTCCACTCTCCAGGCGGACGCTCTAACACCAAAGGGGTGAACCCTGTCAACGAGCAGTTAAGAATGCCATCTCTGCCATGATGCCACACCCTTCTACAATATCAGGGTGTTAAAAAAAACAGTTTGTGCTGAAGGACCTTACAGTCTACCACCTAACTTGGCCAAAGCATCAATTTCCTTATATATTTGGCCTTATTATATGAACTAATATTAGCTTAGCTTACTAGATGAAACAGAATTTAACTCGACCTTGTCATCAGACTAACAGCGCAAGATGCAGGTTAAGCACCTAATTTACTGAATGAGTTGGTTTTTTATTACATAAAAAAGTTTCATCTTCAAAAGGAGGCCTCACAAACCTGTCGAAGATATGATGAACAAGCAAGCAGGGCTGTAACGATGCATCGAACTATCGATGGATTGCAATTGTTGAGTCCCTGATAGCAATTAATCGATGGTAGAAACGAAAAACTATTGATGCCTCGATAGTATGTGTGACTATCGATAGTTTAACAATTGACTTCTGTTGATAAATGCGCAGTGCAAAACACAGGAAGTACCAGATTCGAAAACTTTGAGTTTTTTATTGTTTGGGTGCAGACTTGCAGCTTCATTGAAATTATGTCTTAACTGTTTACTTGATCTGGGTTTCAACTTTCTTGTCAGTTATTAAAAGAGACTGAAACTTTTTTTATTTCATATAAACTATACATTCATTTGGGAAATGACTTCAAAAGTGACAATTCAAGGACAAAAAAACAATCGCTATCATAATAACAAGCATTGTCACTAAGGTGACATAATCCCCCGCTGCAAATTATCAAATCAAATTATGGGTACAACAAGGACTGATCGGCTCGGTGTCAGTATAATGTGTATGAGTGGGGTATTCATGCTTCACTGCGGCATGGTATCTCACTGGGCTAGCACTATAAAACCAGCTTAAGTCTGGGTTAGTACAAGCAGCCGCACATACACATACACACGCATGCACATCGTCATATGAGCGAAATATTCTCAAACACGACGTTAACCTAATTTCTCCTCACCTCACCCCTGTGGTCATGCTGAGAAGGTCTCTGACTTCAGATCAGAAGGTGTGTTGTTCAAATCAAAGCATGAGACTAGGAAACTTTATGGTCACCATAATATTACTGTTGATCACTGGATTGTCTGGTCCAGACTCGATTATTAACAGACCGCCGCCATATATCTGGAATATTGCTGAGTGCAGCGTAAAACTTTACTCACTCACTCACTCACTCACTTGATCATATTTCCTGACACTGCTGTCAGACATAGTACAAGATACTAAATATGGCCTTGATCCCTGAGATTGCATCAGCTGCCGATGAGGCATGGATGACATCCAAGTTTAAAGATCGCTAAGGCCTACAGTCACAAAAAGACCAGTGATTAGAATACTCCAGAAACCAGAGCCAAATCACAGTGCCTAGAATCTTTTCATTTGTAAAACCTGCCAGGCCAAGTACAATTTGCAGAAAGCTTTGGATGATGGGAAAGTAAATGTTTGGTGTATGAACTGTGGTTGTGTTTTCAGTATCGCAAGTATCTCCGCAAGAAGGTTCAGCAGCAGAGGGAGGAGGATGTGAGTATACAAGGGTAGATTGTACAAGTCTGTTCATGTGGAAGAGTGAGGTGCCCAGCACACAGTTGGTTTAAGATGCTCAACACTTTTGTTTGTGTGAGATGCAGTACACTTTGTTTGTGTGAGATGCAGTACACTTATGTTTGTGTGAGATGCAGAACACTTATGTTTGTGTGAAATGCAGCCACAACACTTATGTTTGTGTGAGATGCAGAACACTTATGTTTGAGATGTGAGATGCAGTGTGAACACTTTGTTTGTGTGAGATGCAGAACACTTTGTTTGTGTGAGATGCAGAACACTTTGTTTGTGTGAGATGCAGAACACTTTTGTTTGTGTGAGATGCAGAACACTTATGTTTGTGTGAGATGCAGAACACTTATGTTTGTGTGAGATGCAGAACACTTATGTTTGTGTGAGATGCAGAACACTTTTGTTTGTGTGAGATGCAGAACACTTATGGTTTGTGTGAGATGCAGAACACTTATGTTTGTGTGAGATGCAGAACACTTATGTTTGTGTGAGATGCAGAACACTTATGTTTTGTGTGAGATGCAGAACACTTATGTTTGTGTGAGATGCAGAACACTTATGTTTGTGTGAGATGCAGAACACTTATGTTTGTGTGAGATGCAGAACACTTTTGTTTGTGTGAGATGCAGAACACTTATGTTTGTGTGAGATGCAGAACACATAGTTTGTGTGAGATGCCAGAACACTTATGTTTTGTGCAGATGCAGAACACTTAGTTTGCATGCAGGATGCCCACCACTATGTTTTGTGTGAGATGCAGAACACTTAGTTTGAGATGTGAGATGTATAGCACTCAGTTTGTGTGAGAGATGTATAGCACTCAGTTTGTGTGAGAGATGTATAGCACTCAGTTTGTATGAGAGATGGCCAGTACTATTTTTGTGTGGGATGCCCAGTATGGCACATGACACGGTTCCTCCAAAAAATGTTTGTGATGTTTCTGTGTCTTCTTTGTTTGTCAGAGGTGTATTGTCATTTGATCTCTGATTGACCTAATCGAATAATGTCTGAAGTCAAAGTAAGTGCATGCTATCTGTGGTTGTCAACACCTCCAAAGCGTGATGAGAATTGCAAGATTAGATCTCAGTCTTATTGAATAGACTGACTGAGTTTGGTTTTATGCCGCAATATTCCAGCAACATCACGGCAGTATTGAATAGAAGGAATAATCCTTATCTTGAATCTTTTAGGAAATGTCATAAGGATAATTAAGTTTTAGGTTTTGACCATGCAAATGACACTAATTATTTTTTACTTCAGGGAACCTTTCCAGCCTATGATGAGAACAAAGCCATAGGTAAGATGATTTTTAAAAGGGAACGGGTGGTCCTGAACAAATCAGTATTGAGTTAGGTCCCTTTGTTGAGCCAGGGTATGCTTGTAGTGAATTTCAAAGACAGACTCACCAGAGAAATGCTTTGAGGTATATCAGCACTATACTGATACTTGTAGGTTTCTCTGATGGAGTGGTATATTGTGCATAATATCACTTTTGTTTATCTGGACCAGACGATAACAGCGAGGGGGTTTCATGAGTGAACAAGTCAGTGTTTTCAAATCTTTGAAGGGCATTGTGATTATTCACAGTAAATAAATTGACATCCATAAATCTTGCTTTTCTCAGTGTTTTCAGTATTTTAGGGGCTTTTGTCAGTTGTCATTAATTTTTTACACTTATTGAAGAATACATATGTCAAATTGAACAGAAAAAGCAGATTCATCAGATGCTCATGATGTTGACCATTGGTATGTCTGGTCCTGACTCGACTGCCCTAGCGACCTGTGAAGATCCGGGGTAGAATAGGTCTTCAGCAACCCATGCTTGTCACAGAAGGCGACTATGCTTGTCGTAATAGGCGACTAACGGGATCGGGTGGTCAGGCTCGCTGACTTGGTTGACACATGTCATCGGTTCCCAATTGCGCAGATCGATGTTCATGATGTTGATCACTGGATTGTCTGGTCCCGACTCGATTATTTACAGACTGCCACCATATAGCTGGAATATTGCTGAGTGTGGCGTAAAACTAAACTCACTCACTCGACTGCCCTAGCATTTATCAACATCAACCAGTGTTCAAAATTTACGCTGTTCCTGTGGCCCCTGGCTAGTAAAAATTCATCAGGACCACTAAATGATGAGTTTGCAGTGGTCATGGTGGCCAGTGAATTTTGTATTGATAGTTAAGTAAATCTACGAATGCTATTTTGGACCAGTGAAGTACAGACAGGACCACTAATTATTGTCCACTGGTCCTGTGGTCTAGTGGAAAATTTTGAAAGGTTTCTTTCCCTGTCAACGTGGACTATATCTCTGAAGGAAAGTCAGTTCTATTCAGACTGACTAAGTCCGTTATTGAAAGGATAGCTTGCTTATGTTGCCCTGTGTGATTCTGTGTAGGGAGGAAGTACATTGAGAATGTCGAAGGATACTACTGCCAGAAGTGTCGCCGATTCTTCCGGGATGAGTCAGAGGCCAAAATAGAGCACTGCATGACATGGGCACATTACCAGAGAATCAAGGTATGTAACAGTGATGACATTACCAGAGAATCAAGGTATGTAACACTGGATGACATTACCAGAGAATCAAGGTATGTAACACTGGATGACATTACCAGAGAATCAAGGTATGTAACACTGGATGACATTACCAGAGAATCAAGGTATGTAACACTGGATGACATTACCAGAGAATCAAGGTATGTAACACTGGATGACATTACCAAGGTATGTAACACTGGATGACATTACCAGAGAATCAAGGTATGTAACACTGGATGACACTACCAGAGAATCAAGGTATGTAACACTGGATGACACTACCAGAGAATCAAGGTGTCTAACACTAAATGACATTACCAGAGAATCAAGATATGTACAGGGCTCCAGATTATTTTTCAGCATCAGGAGTACATACTAGGGTTTTTTTTCAATATAGGACTCAGAGGCCCAGATAAGCTGCGTATCCGGGTAAAATACGCATAGAAAATTTCAAATTACGCATTGACAAATAATTGTTGCGTACCCAATTACGCATTTAAAATGTTAGATACGCAAACAGTTTAAAACAAATGTGTACGGAATATATTTATAAAACTCGCTTGCATAATGAAAAAGACATCGATTGCTATCAAGTTGTACTGTTAGTATAGGACTAGTATTGTACTGTCAGTATAGGATGAGTGATTTTTCATGAAATCATTTCCAATATATTTAAGTTGGTTTTGATTAGGTATGACATAAGGCAGAACATACCTACTTAGTAAACTTTCTCAATGACATAATACTGAGTAAAATGAGTGAAACACGCACATATTTGAAAGCAGTGGGTAACGGAAAATGAAATACCCACTCAACATTTATAATACCCTCTCCAAAAAGATACAGTGGGTACAGTACCCACATGAGCTAAATCTTATCTGGAGCTCTGGGACTACTTGAAAAACTTAAGAGTACATTATGGAATTTAATGGAGTGTGACTACAAGACGAACGAGTGATACTAGTAGTATTACTAATTTATTTCTGAAAGATACTTGTAATTTGTATTTGTGCAGCCATGTTTACATACAAGTTCGCAATTTTGACCCATCAAATTTAAACGAGATGATCCGCTAGGGTACGCGGTTTCCTCAGCAAGAATTAGCTCTGAAAGGTGGTGATAAAGAATAGAGGTGAGGTGAAATGGGGTTTAATGTCGTACTTGAGAATATTTCATTCATGACAACGTTCATGTATGTGTATGTGCGGCTGCTTGTACTAGCCCAGACGTAAGCTGGTTTTATAGTGCTAGTTCACTGAAATACCATGCCGCAGTGAAGCATGAATACCCCACTCAGACACATTATACTGACTCCGAACCAACCAGTCCTTGTTGTACCCATTAATGCCGAGCGCCAGGCAGGGACCAACAAGTACCATATTTTAACGTCTTTTGGTATGACGCGGCCAGAGACATAAGGAATAGAAAATTATCCATAAAAAGGGTTCTGATTCATGTTCGTCCATCTTCTAAATGCCTTTCAAGAACTACTTTGGTGATGCTAGAATGCCTCCAGAAGTCTGCTGTAATCCTTTCAGAATACAAAGTTCCCGAAGGAAGAGGACAAGAAGAAGGATGCGGATGGGAAAGGTGGGGGAGATGAGGCTGTGGAGATGGCTGCAGACGTCAAGACTGAAGCTGCTGATGCACAAGTGGATGAAGAGGAGTTGCTGAAGGAGGATGAGTGATATCGAGCCGGACAATGAATGATACCGATCTGATGAAAATCTGTTGTTGAAAGACTGGGAACTGATGTACAAGCTTGTGTCAGATGATTGAAGTCCCACTGACCTTCTGGGCAGGAAAATGCAGTAAATGCATTTTTTCGTAACTTGGACCACCTGATGGATGTGAAAGTGTATTGTTCATGTAATGACTACATGTACAAACTGTATTAGTAGATTTTGACAGAGCTGTGTGGGCGGTGATGTGGATGAGTAGATAAAGTATTCGCACGTCACCCTGAGGACCCACGTTCGGTTGGGTACAATGTTTGTGGGCCATTCCTCCTGTTGTGATATTACTCAGGGGCGGATACAGCTTTTTGAGAAGGGAGGGTGCATACTATTGAGAAAAGCGGGGATGCACACTTCATTTCCACCCAAGTTTCAATGGTCATTTAATAAACTTTCAGGACAGGAGGTGGGTGCGCACCCCTGCACCCCTTCTGGATCCGCCTATGTGACTGGAGTGTCACATAAGTGGCTTAAAACCATACTCAGTACTGCAGCCAGACTGCGTTGTTGCAGAATTCCTGCTGATTGTAATTACCTTGGCACTTTATTCATAAATGTATGCGCCAACAATTTATAACAAGTTTTTATATATTGGGCACATAATTATTTTCAAAATACAACTAATTTGATTTAAACATTCGGAAATCAAAATCAAAATACTGAAACAGCCGGAATTCAAAAGAAAGTTTCATAAGCTCTGTACATTGCTAGTATGTCTATTTGCATACAAACTGTAATATGAATTGCTGTAAGGAGCTCGTTTCACTGTAAAGAGCTCAACTTAATGTTCAGAGTTTATCATGGAATCTTTTTGGCTGTCAACATGTCAAACAGACATTTGCAGATTTGTCATGGTTATTGGCCCACGGTTTCTAAAGGTAGGGGCCAACTGGCCCCTTCCAAGGAAATCATGGCTGCAGATTGCATACTAAATGACTATAAATTATCAGGCATGGAATTATCCATCAATGTGCATGGATTGACTTTTGATAACCTATGTCAAGTGCTTTTGAGATCAGCTATTCATTATTTCTTTTCACTTCTGTTGATTGAGAATACAAAAGGGAGATAAGCCTGTCAAAATCATTGAGTACCACTGATGAAGGAATGTCTTCAGCTCTGAATTGAATTTTGAAGATTCATTATTTGTCTCATCATGTGAGAACTGGTAATAAAGTCCATGTCATAGCTGAGAATGACCCAGGTTTCAACTAATCTTTGAGCTTGGGGGATTATTATTCAATTCTTATTGCATTTTCATTTCAATCGTCAGTCTCATTTTTGCATCATAATTTTAGAATGTCCAAAAAACAATGAATTTGAATATCACTATTTGAGTCATTTTCTGTTTTCAAATGTGTATTCCTGGATATGGGACACACATGAACATTGTGGATAAGGCTCTGTTCAAGCTTACATCCCTTAGCCTTGCCAGAATCTACTTGTTGACCCATCCCAGAGCCATACAGTACACAGAGATGCCAACCTCTACGATAGACTCAAACTATGCCAATACGATTGCACTAGAAATTCGATGAAGTTTGAAGAGAATTCATTAAAATTCGGGTACATAGAAAACACATATATTTTCCTTGATTAAATACATTTTCGCCAAAAAGAGAAAACAAAAAGAAATGTGATGCTGATAATTAGAAAATTTGCTGTTGGAGGTATGTGAAATTAAAGCTTCACTCTTGATTAGTGACATCTATCTCAGAATCCATCATGATTTTAAGGATTTAGTTGACTACTAATTTTATGGTCAAACTACTAATTTTGAATCTTGAAACTACTATTTGCAACACTTTGGGGTTGACATCTCTGAGTACAACCTGTGTGACTTTGGATGACCCCATCAGCAATATGCAGGCAGTGGGATAGCCTAGAGGTTAAAGTGTTCGCACTCGAAGACAATGACATGAGTTCAATTCCCCACATGGTACCCATGAAGATCCGGATTAAGCCCTCCGCAACCCATGCTTGTCGTAAGAGGCGACTAACAGGATCGGGTTGTCAGGCTCGCTGACTTGGTTGACACATGTCATAGGTTCCCAATTACGCAGATAGATGCTCATGCTCTTGATCACTGGATTTTCTGGTCCAGACCCGATTATTTTACAGACCGCCGCCATATAGCTGGAATATTGCTGGGTGTAACGTTAAACAACAAACCAACTGACCAAACCAACCAACCCCACATGGGTGCAGTATGTGAAGCCCATTTCTGGTGTGCACCAAAGTGATATTGCTGGAAAATTGTTAGATTGGGCTCAGTTGGGTACTGGACCCGTGGAGATCTGAGCTTGAATTATCTTCAGTAGCCCATGCTTGTCATTATAGGCGACTTATGGGATGACTGACTGACTGACTGAGTTTAGTTTTACGCCGCTTTTAGCAATATTCCAGCAATATCACGGCGGGGACACCAGAAATGGGCTTAACACATTGTGCCCATGTGGGGAATCGAACACTTATGGGATGGGGTGATCAGGCTTGCTAACTTGGTTGACACATCATCGGTTCCCAATAGTGTAGATCGATGCTCATGCTGTTGATCACTGGATTGTCTGGTCCAGACTCAATTATTTACAGTCCGCCGCCATAGAGATGGAATATTGCTGAGTGCAGCGTAAAACTAAACTCACTCACACATTTGGGTAGTCATATGCTTTGCAACAGGAACTTGACTTTTCACCAAGTTTAGAAAGGGAGTGGGGTGAGTTTAATGCAGCTTTAGACAGTTCCAGTTGCGTCAGGGCCTGACAATTTGATAAAGCAGGAAAATAGTGCAGGTTACCATTTTCAGTGAATCCCACAAGCACAGGTTTGATGTTGACAATATTGTGAACAAGGTCAAGGAGAACGTACAACCCATGTTAACAGGTTTCTTGCATGCCCAAGGGACGTAACTCTCCTCGGCTAATTGCAGTGCCTGTGACAACTCGGCCACCGGCAAAGCTTAGTCGACAAATGGTTCATGGTATTTATCATAATGGAATAGAGTAACTGTACAGTTGGTAATCAAAGATGATGTTTTCAAACTGCTGTAATTTGCATACATGCGATTATTTTCGAGCAAATGAAACAAGACCACAGTTTGTCAAACAATTTAATAACCATAAACAGTCCCCATGAATCTCAAAAGAGGTATCAAATGACGCCATTTTACCAATTCTAACCATAAATATCGCATCGCGCTAGGCGTATACCCATGAGCAGCTATAACAGACTTGCTGTGAATCCAATCGTGCCATTGTTTCGGTTCAAGGCCAACTCCGCTCGTGCTCACGTGCGAAGCTCGTGCAATATGTGCACACAGCCCTGTAACATATACGTCCTCGAGGTGTATCGGTGGTGCATGACGGGCTATCTTGAACAGATCCGCAACCAAATCTCCCGAGATCACGTAGGCTGGTCCGTGTACAAAACGCGGAAACTGCGTAAACGGATATTGTTCAAAGGAGACATACCACTTGTTCGTTGAATTCCTGATAGGCGTATCTGCAATGTCTGTGTATCCTAATATGAATCGGGACTCTGTATCCAGAAGATTCAGCTTTGAAAGCAGGTTGTCTGTTTCAAGAAACACATCGTCATCTACTTTCATCACATACCGAGCCAGCGGACAGAACTGCCTGGACCATTGTAACATTGCCACAGTCTTAAGCGTTAGATTTTTGTAAGAGTCGATAAAATTTCCTTGAACAATATCCGCGTGTGTTTTTTGTTCCTCGGCAAGCTGGTTGTCTACATGAGATGCTTCCAATCCTAAGAGAAATACCAGCTTCAAATTTACCTCCATTTTGAACCGTGAACCCCACGTCTGCCGTATTGCTGTTCGTTCATCCAAATTAGTCGGTTTAGACGGAACAATGACAAGCACGTAGACAGACTGAGCTGATTTACACACATCAGAATTGACAAGGAATTTGAAGTCGTTCATGACGACACCAGAAGTAACATACTCCTTCAGTTTATCGTCAGTCAAATCAAGTCCTAAGTTAAGATCTGTCGTATCCGATTGCGTGCTCGGTTGGGTCACGTCATGGTAACTGGAATGTCTGTATATTGTGTAACTCCATCCTCGCCTTAGTCGGTCGTAACACAAGCAGACGACACTGAAAATGACCATCACCGCCATTATCTTCAGTTTCCGTCTTTTTACCTTGCAGTTCCTGAGACACAGACACATCTGAAATTACAATAAAAGGAAGTATAATCTATGTCCAACAAGCTCAAGCCGGGACCTAGTAATTAGTGTGACACTTCAAACATTCATTCATAATACATTTCAAACATTTGTCTATTACACACATTAAGCATTCATTCATTACACATTTCAAATATCTATTTATTACGCACTTCAAACATTCATAATACATTGCAAAAATGTATTTCTTATACACTTCAAGCATTTCATTCATTACACATTTCAAACATTTATTTATTACACATTTCATTCATTCATAAAACATTTCAAGTATTTATCTATTACACACTTCAAGCATTCAGTCAGTATACATTTCATATTTATTTATTACACACTTCAAGCATTCAGTCATTACACATTTCATACATTTATTTATTACACACTTCAAACATTCATTCACAAATTATTGTATATAAATTTTAGGGGGTGTCATTCACATTGTACATGCTGCTCCATAAAAATCATCATCACCCCTTAGCCATAAATTATGAACGGTCCCTAAGTGCAACAACTGTTGCAAGGTATGGGGTTAATATTTACCTTAGTGTTAAGACGGTCTTAACAAAGGCAACCTCCCGTGCGTGCTGACACAGTAAGATAGGGATCAGTCAGTTAAAACTTGTGACCTCGTTGATCAATAACTGGTTGCAATCCTATGGCAACGCCCTGATATACCTACAGTTTGTGAGAGCGGAAGGTCGCGGGTTCGATCCCCGACCGCGTCAAACCAAAAGACGTTAAAATATGGTACTTGTTGGTCCCTGCCTGGCGCTCGGCATTAATGGGTACAACAAGGACTGGTCGGCTCGGAGTCAGGATAATGTGTCTGAGTGGGGTATTCATGCTTCACTGCGGCATGGTATCTCAGTGGGCTAGCACTATAAAAACCAGCTTAAGTCTGGGCTAGTACAAGCAGCCGCACATACACATACACACGCATGCACGTCGTCATATGAGCGAAATATTCTCAAGCACGACGTTAAACCCAATTTCACCTCACCTCACCTCACCTACAATTTGTTGGCTTTGTCACAAAACAACATTCACCATGACGCTATAGCAATTGGCATGCATACTCACTTTCACTATTTCTGGTACGATGAGGTCCATCATAAGGAAACTGGCGTCATTTAGATTGAATATTGATGAACATTTTTTTGAGTGACACACTGCTTCAAATATCTGAAAGATAAAACATCAAGAATTGGTAAACCGTCGGTCAAGACACAGTAACGATATCACAACGCAGCTGTTATGAAAAATATCCATCCAGTTGATCCTTGTCATGTGAGGGCGGTGGGGTAGCCTAGTGGTTAAAGCGTTCGCTCGTCACGTCACCTAGGTTCGATTCCCCATATGCGTACAATATGTGAAGCCCATTTCTGGTGTCCCCCGCAGTGGTATTGCTGTAATACTGTCAAAGGCCCCATAAAACGCACTCACTCACTCACTTGTCAAGTGCATATTTCATGGAGACAAATAACGCCGTTCCCACGGGTTTACATATACGTTCTTCATTCATCATTCAGTGAACAGACCGGTTTCAACGACATTGCTTACCTGGCTGAGGGTCAAACGTGATTACATAGTGTCATGGTCTATCTGCTTGTGGAAACATAGCTGATCCCAGTCCCAAAACAGGTTGTCGGTATTCGAGAACAGAAATGCTTACTGTTGCCCTTTCGAAAAAAGGCGACGAAACCAGTTGTCAACAGTTACGCTTCTTGGGTGTGTCAATGAAATACATACCCAAACTTTACTAGCGGTGTCGGTCGATTGTATCAGTTGTGGACGCGGGGCCTCCGAGGTGAAGTGGAACAAACCCGCCTTACGGCCACAGCTGTGGGGATTGTCCGATGCACCGAGGATAGTATGTTAAACCTGTATTATACCTCCGGTCGAGTTGACATTTGAAGTAAACATTTAGTTCCGTGTCCAAATTAGACAGTTGGGGTTTAGTGTTTTCTCTTCTTGATTCATTAGCACCCATCCGTAAAGACCCTCAAACGACTCTGCTCGCGGCAAGCAAACAGGATTACCTGCAAAATGTGCACATTTTTGAAAGAATATAATGCACACGAGGGTCCAAACAAATGTTTTGATGGGCCCTTACTGAGCACATTGATTCTTGACATGCGCACTACACATTGCTTATTTAATTCCTGGGCTGCTCTACGCAAGGCAAGGTGTGTTCTGGCGAATTTTCAATTTGATGAAATTTTGGATTCGATTTTGATTTATATTAACAACAAGTTACAAAAAGGTTTCAAGATCCTGTAAACGGGAAATATGTGGAGAAGTGTCATGGCTTGGTTTGCACTCGCAACACGTGTGGGTACACAAAGGAAACACACTGGTGATAAGTTTGTATTTGTGCCCCCGTAGTCTAGCCATCAAGCGTAAGTACGCAAACGTTGATTCAGTCGAAATTACCATGTAAACAATGAGTGAACTGTCAAATTGAAGATGTGTGAGGGTTGTGTTTTATTTTTCATTAATATGTATTTTGTCCAGTATCTACAGATTTTCGAGTACATACATACACACACACACCTACATACATACATACGTACGTACGTACGTGCGTGCGTACATACATACATACATACATACATACATACATACATACATACATACATACATACATACATATATAAAAGTATAGCATAGGCATTATTATTAATTACCTATTGTGTTCAAACAATCGTCAAAAAATATGCCACAAAAGTGTTGATAACATGATTTTACACAATTGCTCAAGTAAAGAATCGACTTTACCTGAAAATGTTGATTTTGATGAGATTTCTTACAGGGATTAAAAAGGCATCACCACAACGCAACAGAAATCACCTTCCAGTTGAAATTGTGCAGCAAAGAGCATGCACTGTCTGGCTATAAAATCCGGAAATCGGCATTCGTTTTGAAGGAGTTTCAATGTCAGATCACTACGCCAAGTCTTGACGCTGCCACACGGAACATCGCCATTGAAAGAATGCGAGCTGGAGATTACCAATCTTCTGTTGCCAGGCGTCTGAATATAAGTCTGAGCACGATATCACGACTTGCAGCTCGTTACAGCCAAACAGGTATAACAAATGACCGTTCCCGTACAGTCAGACCTCGAGTCACCACTGCAGCCCCAGAATGGTACATACGGGTACTACATTTGCGTGATCGTACTGCCACGGGTGAGAGCACAGCAGCCAGGGTGCCTGGACTTCGGACGATACCCGGTCAAACTGTACGGAACAGGTTGAGAGATTGGACTCAGAGCCAGGAGTCCCGACGTCCCCCGTGCTACTATCGTTACCATCGCGCTAAAATTATCCAATTGGTTGTATAGACATTTCCTTCTTCTAAACTGATGTAAAAATTCATGTAATAAACTCGTTACTGTTTCCCTCTTAATAGATAAATCCATCCATATGAATATTAGAAACTTGTCGAACTCTTAGGTACATACATATTCTGCGTAGAGATACACATTTTCCAATACCGTGTGAATCCAAATATCGTGTGAATTCCCGCTGAGAAAAGAACGTTCTTTGGATTATTTGAAAAATCCCACTTGAACAGACTATTACAGAGTAAATTAAACTGTAATTATGGTAAAACACGACGATTATGTGTCATTCAAGTATATCTCTGGTATAATTTCACCGATATTTAGCTTTCGAATCAATCTACGAGTATCATCGCAAAATGTCTCACCTCCGGTGATCTAATTTGCACAAATATGTTATTGAGGTATGCAATAATTGCCTTTATGTCATTTAATCCATGATTGTCGTAAAAGGCGACAAATGGGATCGGGTGACCAGGCTCGCTGACACATGTCATCGTATTCCAGTTATTTAGATCGATGGTCATGATGTTGATCACTGGATTGTCTGGTCCAGACTCTAATCTTTAAAAGACCGCCGCCATATAGCTGGGATATTGCTGAGTACGGCGTTAAACAACCAGCCAACCAACCAACCTTTATGTCATCAGCTTATACCATGGATAAATGGTTTATACATATTTTTATTTCGCCAAAGCAGAAACCTGGAGGGTTAGGTCCCATACTGCCTACAGTTCCAAACTGCCTACAACTTGCCCTGTAGAATAATGGAACAGCCCGAGTATCAATGAAGAAGGGGTGCTTCGTTTGGAGTACGGGATAATTAGGGGGATTATATTAGTATATATCTGTGCATCTACTTTGTGCATCTGCTTAGTATGTTTTGAGTCTTCTCATCCAATAAAGACTACAAGACAAGTACAATGATATTGTTTTATTTTGTTTTGGGAAGCAGTTAGCATGCTTATATTGTAACCTCCAAAGCAGGATTAACTAAATCCTATTTGATCAAGTTGGGTAGGCTTGTTTTAAGTGTGTTGTTACAGGCTTTGTCTGTCTTTGTCAGATTATGTCGAAAAATATGGTAAGGACTATTGTTCTGAATTGTTCAGAAGATCTCATCTTCTCAGTTAATTAAACTCCTAATAAATTAGAAGGGGAACCAGTTGTATCCATCACACAATGGCAAATGTTCAACGCGTTCAATTCATCACTTCTCACGCAGGAGGACAGCAAGTTTCTTTACTGGGTACCGATATCGCCTCAACGTCAGACGACAGACCCCAACACATTGGAAGTGAAAATCCTTATTGCCAAAGCCCACCCAAACATCTACCTCTTCATCTGCAACATCAAGAAAATCGAAGCCGTAGACAAAGCTAAACGTGCTCAGCTCGACTGTGGTGCCCTCCCCAAGTCACGCAAGCGTGTTTACAGAGAGCTCGATGCGAGACTTCTGAGACTGAAGGAGCACCTCCAGAGCGGCAGAAAAACGCCTCTTCAGTACCTTGATGCTGCTGGACATCTCATCAAGTTTGCAAAGTGATTGTCAGTTGTGTGTGAAAAGACTGTAAAACCACTGAAAGACTGTAAAACCTATCAGCTTTTCATGATAAATCCATGTCTCCATGTAAAGTCTGAGAATTCTCAGAATGAATAAAAATGTCCTACCAACCAACACTTGTCATTTTTTTTTTAAACTTCTGTAGGCAGAGTGGAAACACACCATAGAATTAACCAGCTAACTAGTCAAGTTCATTTTAGCAGGGGTAGAACAGGTCAGATCGGTGTATTCACTTCCTGATCACTGGACCGTATCATGTTGTTTTATCCTGTAGGCAGTTTGGAACTGTAGGCAGGATGGGAATACACCACTTGGATAGGCGAACAAGCCTATTGGCTTATATAAACGCCGCTCCAGTACATTGTTCAAATAGCTGGATACATTAATGAAATAATTTGACAACAAAAGAATAATACAATAACAGATATATGATTGAGTAACAAATATGGTCGTTCTGGTGTTGGTTATGCATAGCAACGAAATGGGCTGCAGCAGAAAGTCACGTTATATAAAATTTGTCTTACACTGAATATATATGTTGAGGGGGATAATCACTGGAAGCGGTTACTTTTAGAAATGAACTGGTGTAATGAGTTAAGAATGTCACTGTTAGTTGAGTTATTCAAGGCGCCGTTACCGTATAAAGTAGTTTAAATATCGTATCCTTGAATATAAAAATTCACAGTTGTTCTTAAATTTGATAGTTCCGACATGTAAAAAGGTAGTGAATAACGTCTTCGTTATAATAACCACATGAACACCTGGGTCTGTCCGATATATGTCGATTATATATGTCTGCGTTTAGATCAATCACTAGCCGAGCTTGAGGCGACAATGAATGATTTGACAAAATCTAGGTCCAAAATTCAAATCAAAATAATTGTGAGTTTCTCTTGTGTTGATGATGGTTTAAATTGATTCAGGGAATTATAGCGCTCGGTAAAAATGATTGAGAATATCTTTGCGTTCTACAATTAACAGTATATAAAATGGATGTTATTTAGTAAATAATAAAAACTGTTATGAGTTTATCGCAGTACACGAGGTTCTCGTTCCAAAACGTTGAGACGTTATCGCTTTGAGTCTTAGTCGAAGCACTGGAGTTAGGATTGTCTGTGTGAAACTGGCCCCGTTACACAAATAAAGATTAACGCTTACACAGTAAATCAGCGACACATAGTGGGAGAACAAGACCAGCTTAGTTGTGAGATCGATTTGTGGAGCGTTGTCCCGATACTCTAACCAAAAATGTACCAAAATGTTTACTTTACCGAGCAAGAGTAATCCCAAATAGAACATTGGCAACTTGGGGCCACTTCCTACAAGTTATAAATCATTCAAAATTGCTTTCATTCTCATTCGTGAATACACCCCAAATAATAATACTTCACTATATCATAAAATTGACAACATATTTTCTTACCTACGGTAAACACACACTCACAGCGACTAGGGTGACTGACCTATATTATCCGTTACACTAGCAGCACTCATCAACAATGCAACATGGTATATATCGTCAGTACTTCCGTCGATGTTGAGCCAGCCACTGGGACGCCATTGAATAATCGGCTTAACAATTCAGTTTCCAGGACCTTATAACAACTGTAGGCAATGAATTTACTCCAGGCTTATCCTAAAGCTGGAATACCTCCCTAGTTACTAAGGTTCATCGGTACAATGGGATTTGTTGCATTGCTCATTATAGATACATTGTTATCAATAGTTAATTATTCCACTGAAAATTGTGAATAGGCTAATTAATTATTTCACTGTTTGTACTACGTGTAGAGTAAGTTAATAAAGAAGCTACGTATTGCCTCAGGGAGTAGAGAAATATAAGCTTTCATTTAGAGTTCACATTTACAATATTTGAAAAAATTAAATCAATTGTTCCGGAATACACTTAGAAAACACTTGTCAAGAGGTATGACCAAATCTTTGAAGGGCATTTAGAAGTGTAATGTATAAGAAAAGCAAGATTTATGGATGTCAACTTCCTTATTGTGAATAACACGACGTCATCAGGCGATGAAGGATGAAGTATACTTTCCCAAACGTCGTGTTATTCACAATAAAGAAGTTGACATCCACAAATCTTGCTTTTCTTAATGACGTGTATGTTGTGCAGTCGAATTACAATCAGGTTTTTTGGCATTTCCAAGAAAGCCAACCTCCTGTCCTTCTCTTGCTTATTCTATAACATATATCCCCTCATACACAGGTAGTGATTTAAACATATTTTTATTCATGAAGATGAATTGGGATTGGTGAACAAGCATTACTGCTTATATTAACACCGCTCCCATGCAACATATAATACAACATGAAAATGGAGGATTTGACGTCATCGATACTGACCATTGCATAAATATAATATTTTTAAAATGTATAAATATATACAGATTACATGAAATACAACTATTCTCTAAGTAGTCATAAGTTAGAGAGTTGCAGTTGTGTGTGTCTCACAAGCCATTGTAGAAATATAAATCAATCATGAGAAGGTTGTTGAGTAAATTTAATTATTTTCCTGAAAAAAATTAAAGCGTTGTGTCTTGGTTATATAATCGTGGACGGATTCAACACAGGGAGTAAGTTCTTTGTTTCCATTAAGAATGGTATCCAGGTTATAACCGGTAGTGTAAAAATACATGTTAAGTCTTATCCGAGTATAGTTACGGCAAGTGAGGAAATAGTGTAGGGCGTTTTCACTATGATGTCCACAAGAACAACAAGGGTCGCTACATCCGAGCCTGAGGCGGCAGTGAACGATTTGGCAAAAACGAGTGCCATAATTAAGGTCAAAGTAAATCTTATTTTCAGTTTTTGTAATTATGTTTTTAAATTCTGTGAGATTACATGACGCTTTGGAATTTGGTAGGGCATTCCATAAATTTATTGTGGCAGGTAAAAAGGATTTAGCATAAGAGGCAGTGCGACTGTAAATTCCTTGTATTTCAGAGTTATTCCTCAAGCTGTAGTTTGTAGTTCCGGAGACGGAGTTTGGAATCAGGTCACAAAGATATTTTGGCAATTGGTTGTTGTACATCTTATAGAAAAAAGTTAACTTCTGGCAATTCCTTCTATCTTGCATGGACTGAGATTTGGTTTCATTATAAAGTTTGTTATGACTTGTGCCACGGACGGCACCACATATAGTTCTCAGAGCATCAAGATGTAAATTTTCTAATGTACGCGATTGCTCAGAAGTACAGTTATCCCAAATATGCGAACAATAGTTAAATATTGGCAAGATATAGGATTTATACATAATATCCAACGTTTTACGTGATAATCGGTATTTAAAACTCCTCAGACAACTGATCATAGGGCGAACTTTACGTACAATATCATTATTGTGATCATTCCACGTACAATCGCTTTGGAGTGTTAATCCTAAATGTTTATGACTTTTGACTTCTTTTATGATTGTTCCGTTCATGAATAGGTTCGGTTTTAGAGACGGTTTCGTTTTACGTGAGAACTGAGTAGTTTCGGTTTTATTTGGATGAAATGTAACCTGCCAATTACGGGCCCATTGTGAAATTCTATCTAGATCTTTGTTAAGACAGGTAGCAGCAACTGATGGATCGTCTATGATAACATATAATGAGGTGTCATCCGCAAAGAGACGAATGTTACTGTCAACATCACATACAATATCATTGATGTATATCAGAAAAAGAAGTGGTCCAAGGACAGAGCCCTGGGGTACTCCAGCTAGTACAGTTTTCTTGTCAGATTTAGAGCCGTTAATTGCGACCCGTTGTACTCTATTTTCTAAATAACTTTCAAACCATTGTAATAGTTTGCCTTGGATACCATAGGTTTTCAGTTTATAAATAATTCCTCTATGCCAGACCTTATCAAAGGCTTTACTTATGTCGCAGAAGACTGCTCTAACCTCTTTTCCTTCGTCAAGAGCTTTGGCTATAAAGTTGTACAAAAAGGTTAATTGATTTGTTGTGGAGTCTCCTGTCATGAATCCTGATTGTAAATTATTTGTCATTAAGTCGTTATCTCTTAGGAAATTGAATACATATTTAAATACACATTTCTCAAAGAATTTCGATAAACAAGATGTGAGTGCGACAGGGCGGTAGTTAGAACAGTCATGTACGCTATCTTTCTTGTGAATAGGTATTACCGATGCTTCTTTCCATGGACTGGGAAAAATTGATAGGCTAAGGGACAAATTGAATAATTTCGAAAGTATGGATGTTAGACTATTTGCGGTATATCTAAGTATTTTATTTCCTATCCCATCCGGACCGGTCGCTTTTGATGTGTCCAGTGACATTAAAATATCTCTGACGTCATCGCGGGTTAGAGTGACGTTAGTTAATTTTGGGTTGCAAGGAAACTCGGTATCGGGCAAATCTCGATTTGGATCAGCAATAGTCGACTGAGCGATAAAGTAATTGTTTAAGACATTAGCGATTTCTTCAGGGTCATTATAGATTGCATCGTTAAAGATAATTGTCCCAAATTGATTGTCATTGTTACGTGATTTTATGAACCCTTTCGTCAGACGCCACCACGTTTTCGTACCAATCGAGGTGTTAACAGAGTCTTCAATTTTAGAAACGAAAATTTGTTTAGCAGTTCTAATAGCGGAAGTAACTTTATTTCTTGCTGATCAGAAGTTAGCCCACTTCGTTGGATGGTTACATTTCTTTGCAATTTTATGTAGGCGATTACGTTTCCGAATCAAAGAACGTATTTGGCTCGTCATCCAGAGCGGATCTGCAGGTCTAATAGTGACAGTCTTATTTGGTATATGTTGATCGCAGATTTTCATTATTGTGGATGTTAAATCGGTTGCAATCTTATCTATATTATTGGAAGAAAATAAAATATCACCATCAATATCATCGACACTCTTGTTCATGCTTACAGTATCAACTAACGAATAGTAATAAACTTTCCTCTTATAATTTATAAGGAGGGGAATTGGTTGTTTGATGGTCACAAATATCGGACAATGGTCACTGCAGATAGGGTCAAGGACTCCCGAGTCATTTACAGCTTTAATATTCGAAACAAAAATCAGATCTATCAGGGTACTTGAATGTGGTGTAATTCTAGTTGGTTCGGATATAATCTGTTTAAGGTCATACATCGATTGAAGGTTATCTATTTTAGTTCGATTTTCTCGAAGGACGTCTATATTAAAGTCACCGACAACGATAGTATACATGTTCAGGTCGACGGCGTTACCGACAGATTCCTCAATCAGATCCCAGTACCCCGCGCTCTTATCTGCTCGATAGACGGATCCGATTAGGTAACAACGGTGTTTACACTTTATCTGTATCCACACCGCCTCGAGCCCGTGGGTGTCAAGGTTGTCCATATGCTTGGCGTGTAAGTTGCTTTTGACATAGATCGCGACAACGCCACCACGCGTTTGCCTATCTTTCCTGAATGGTAGGTGATATCCAGGTATTGCTATATCAACACTACGAATGTCTGCATGCAACCAGGATTCAGTAAGACATATCACGTCATAAGACGGTGAGTTGAACAATGTACCTGTCACAGTTGATGATGATGATAACACAAACAAAAACATGCATTTTATTGATGATGAAGAATGTTATCCTATTGATGATCGTAAATCTCATGACACTGATGTTAACAGCTTTGGTCAAATGCTATTGGATGTATGTTATGCACTCCAGTTGTATATAGTTAATGGTAGAGTATACGGTGATACCAGTGGTGAATTTACATATTGTAGCCAACAAGGGTTTAGGGTGAATGATTATTTTATTTGTTCACCAGATTTTTTCAAATTTATAAATATGTTTAATGTTGGAGATCGAGTAGATTCTGATCATCTTCCGTTGGAAATGACTTGTCAATTCAGTAATGTTAACTCTAATGTCAATGATTCAGTCAACAATGTGAAAGAAATACTTTTTTGGAACGAATCATTTTCAACAATATTTTTGAGTAACCTAAAGAAACGGATAACTCCGTGCTTTGAACATCTCCTCGAGAAACTTGATTTTGATGTTAATGAAGTTCTTGGTGATCTTGTTCATGTGTTATTACACTCAGCAAATTGTATGAAGGAACAACTCAGGTCATCTCAGCACCCAAGTAAAGTACAATAAAGTAAAGAATGTCAATCTGCCAGGAGAGACGCCCGTAAACCCTTGAGGGTTTTTCGGTGTAGACGAACAGACCATAACAGAAAACATTTTTGCAAAATGAGAAACAAGTATAAAGCTTGCTACAGAAAATATAAGACTGACATTTCTATACAAAAGGTAAAAAAACTTACTGACTCTCCTTCAAAATGTTGGAAACTGCTTCGGACATTTCGGAAAACGTCAAGTCCAAGATCAAACATTTCGAAAACAGAATGGCTTACTCATTTCAAGAATGTTTTCTCGAATGAATCAGTTTTTAATGATGGCATTGATACACAGCGTGATTTTATGGACGCTTTGCCTGACCCCCCGATAATGATTTAGATATGTATGTTTTAGACACCCCCATTTCAGAAATCGAAATAAGGGAAGGTATATCCAACTTAAAAAATGGTAAATCGCCAGGTCCTGATCAAATTATAATTGAAATGATAAAATGTTCGACGACAGAGCTTTTACCTTTTCTCCAAAAATGTTTTAATACCATATTCGAAAGTTGTATATTTCCCAAAAGCTGGTTGTGTTCCATTATAATTCCAATACATAAGAACGGCTGTGTTACCACGTAAATTGTAATAAAAATGCAAATTGTAATACTTGCAGCAAATTGTAATAAACTTGACGTAAATTGTAATAAAAACGTAAATTGTAATAAAAATTGACTTAAATTGTAATAAAAATTGACTTAAATTGTAATAAAAATTGACGTAAATTGTAATAGTTTTCGTTGCGGTAAAATGTAATAAATATTTACGTAAATTGTAATAACCGTTTTAATCACTCGTAAATACGCGGCTGTTTGTTTTTCGTTGCATTTCATACATCAAATAAGCTTGTTAGGGCGATAACTCAAGAAAGAATTGATGGATTTGGTTCAAACTTGGTACCAAGGTATATTGGCGAGATTCACCGACACAAGTGAAATGGAGTGACCTTGAGATAATTTTCAAGGTCACAGTAAAACTCTGAGGGTTTTGCCAATATAAAAATTGTTAGCGCGATAACCCAAGAAAGAATTGACAAATGTTAGCCAAATGACGAAAATGATATTCGTCCTGATATATAATCGATATAAAATCTCTTACTGTCCTCTGTATCATGTTTTTTCGCAAATATCTTTTGAGGTTTTGATATGTAAAAATATAAAGTTGGGTGGGATGGGGGTGGGTTTCTAACGGGTATATCAAATCAAATCAAATCAAATTAGACATTTGTATAGCGCTACATATCCAGAGTCCTGCTCATGTGCGCTTAGTCGAATGCTCGTTTGAAGAGGATGGTTTTGCGACAAGATCGGAAACTGGTGATATTTTCCGATTTTCTGACATTTTCAGGTAATCAATTCCAGAGTACAGCACCCGGTCTGCTGAATGATCTGTCTCCGTATGTTGTGGTTCGGACAAATGGAATAGCCTAGCTGACTAGCAATGAAAATGCAATACAAATTAAACTTCAGGAAACAAAATATGCAAGAAACATTTTGTATGTTTGAGATTGGTAGAGGTCGGCTAGAATCAAACTTAGACATTAAACTGCACAAAAGGCAATTTGAAACTACAATCGCTTGTTCAAATGACTCCCCCTTCGGTTTACTGAAAGAACTCGAGAAAGAAATGATGGATTTCGTTCAAATTTGGTACCAAGGTTTATTGACGAGATTTACCGACACCACTTGAATTTAGTGACCTTGAGGTCATTTTAAAAGTCACAGCGAAGGTGTAACAGTTTTGCACATGCCAAGTTTGGTAGCCGCGAACTTAGGAAAGAATTAATAGATTTTGATCCAATTTTATAACAAGGTGTATTGGCGGGAATCCCCCTACACCAATTGAAACAAAATATGCAAAAACATGTTGTATATTGGTAAAAGTCAAACTTAGATATTAAACTGCACAAAAAAGCAATTTTAAGCTATAATCGCTTGTTCAAGTGACTCCCCCTTCATGTTTACTGAAAGGGCTTGTTTTCGAGACACTACCCACCCCCTTTCAGTTGACGTCATCATAAGGATATAACTCATCCTAAAGTTTTCACTTATTCAAACATGGTGTCAAGGGTTCAAACTAAATACTGAATGGTCACACAAGTGTTAGCTCTCAATATGTTGTATATCTGGACACAATGTTTTTGAAAATTTAAAATGAGGGTGTCCTAAAAAAACAGTCCCCGTCTAACTGTAAATCAAGCAATCCAAATCTTTGAATGTTGATGATGACGGGAAGTCATCCAATACTATGCTGAACATATTTTATATGATACTATCTGAGGGTATACCATTATGCAAGAGATAGCGCAATAGTGCAGTTGTAAGGCGTCTGCCTATCACGCTGAAGGCCCTGTTTCGAGGAGGCACCGAGGTTCGGTTCCCGAGATGGGCACATTTGCGTAGTATCCTTGGACAAGATACTTAGATCTACACTGTCTCAGTTCACCCAGCTGTAAAATGGGTACCCGTGAGTATGTGCTGGCAATGTGAGTGTTTAGTTCATTGCGCCTAACAGGCACCGTGGCTGTACAGTCCCCAGGGAGTTGAAAAAGTATCGGAAACTACGATAGTGTCCTATGATCGGGGATAGTAATGTACGTAGCGCCGCGAGCAGGCAATGTGCCTGGATGTGAGCGCCATATAAGCGGACTATTACTATTACTAGATACCAAATGGGAGATCGTTTTCCATTTTCTGCAAATTTGCAAGAAACATAATACCCCAATGATGTGATGACTAATATCTCGTTAACCACATTACCCACATGGAAATTTTGGATATGACTTTGCTAATGATTCCTTCAAAATAAAATGGAAGCTTTCTTTTCAAACATTGGACATCGAGAATATAGTTAGTTTGACTACTTTTTCAACGCCCCTCGTAACATACTTAAAAGAAATGAGAACGTCTAAGGAAAAAAGCATTTCGATCTCTGAATACTTCTGAGCTATTTAAATACAAAAGCAAAGGAATAAAGTAAGTAATCTGAAAGGAATAGCCAAGGGAAACTTTTATTCTAATTTTGATAACTATTTATCACCTCAGTCTACTCAATCAGGTGGTTAGTACTTCAGTACGTCATCGGGGCCCACTCCCCTTCTTGTCACTGATGATTCTGGGATACCTTCAGTTTTTACAGATTTGGATAAAGCTCAAACATTAAATGAATATTTGGTATCTGTTTCAAATGTTACTGATGGCGGCAAGACTTTGCCACCTGTTAGCCATCGCTGTGTTAACAGTATAACAAATGTCATTAACACGTCGCAATTTAATTCTGGACTCACAAAAGTCCAGAAACTCTCCGCACTGTGGGTACTTTCTGACAAGTGATTTGACCAAATTAAACATGCAGTTGTTTTGAATATATGCCAAGGATGACATTTTTTTTAAAAATTGCGAAAACTGTAGATATAAACTCGCTCGCCCATGGGCGAGAATGTTTAATTTTGCTCAGAATTCATGTTTTGGAGGTTGTAAATGAATGAGTGTATGTTTATAAGCATCATGACAAAAAATTCAACTCATTTTGACTTAATTCGACTAACTAAGGGCGATATTAAAAAATCTCGCCCATGGGCGAAACATATGTTGGCCCATGGGCGAGAATGTTTAATTTCGCTCAGAATTCATGGTTTGGAGGTTGTAAATGAATGAGTGTATGTTTATAAGCATCATGACACTATTTTCAGCTCATTTTGGCTTAATTCGACTAAGTTAGAACGATATTAAAAACTCTCGCCCATCATATTATATATTCTGTGAGACATGAAATGAAAAATAGTGAAAAAAAATATTCCCCCGAACGGAAGCTCTACCCATTTTAGGTACAATGTGCATGTTATAGAATAGTAGGGAATAGTCTTAAGACGTTTCAACTTTGACCAGGATTCTTCGAACTTGTAACAGTCGTTTGAGAGATCAAAAGAGAAAGGGGTAGTGCGCGATGTATCTGACCGACGTATGTGGAGAACGTTTGAAGAATGTTACTGTATGAATACAATAATTGAAATACCAGTTATGTTTAAAAAGTACCCTCAATCTGATATCCAGAGAGATTATTGTGAAAGATCGCAGTATTTATCTTCATAAACGGGCCAAGATAAAAGTCCATGTCATTCATCCCCATATTATATCCCTTCTATATACAGTACAAGGGACATCGTTGTTATACAGGTAGGGCAAACACTTTCTTCTATAGGTATCTGCCGGTTCACGCTACATACATGTATTCAGATTATCGAGAAAACTAGCGACGCAAGATCTCCTCCATCACACATATAATTGTATACATACCCAGTGATTAGTGATAGCGTTGAAGCAACTTATTAACATTTACGACAGACACTATCAGCTGCAGTAGTACTGCCATACCTAGCATCGTATTTATTACTCTATTACATAAGGTGAAATATCACAGGGTTGTCATGGTAACGATAATTTGGCATACTATTTATTGTCTTACTATTTATTCAGCGATTAGAATTTAAATCAGTTTTGAGGTCAGCATGTTAAGAGAAAAGAAGCCGTGCCTATTAACACTTATCAGAGGGGTACACAAAGTCTGCAGTCTAGACTACCAGTTGTCCGACTTCCATTTGTTTGGAAGTCGCGGTAGCTGAGCGGGTTAGGCGGCTGACTTTGTGTGCTGGCGATTAGGTGCCTGACTCTGAGGGTGTGAGTTCGAATCCCGGATGGGGCTTAACTCAAAAAGTACTAGAATTTGTACTTTACTAAGAAAGTGTATTCCCAAATGTAACATATGTTACATTTGACCACTTTCTAAATGGCATTGTGTAATCATAAGTGAGAAAAGAAGTTGTAAAACGAAAAGTATTGTGATCGAATCTATTGGCCTTTGTAAAAGCAAGTTTCAAGCCACCTACATAAAAACCTGTTTTCATGATAAATATTTGCTGATCCGTGGCATGATTCCGACAATATCATGAGCATGTGTTTGTGAATCATAATCAAATAGTGATGTTATAAGGCGTCCATTCCGCGTCAACAACACATGCAAACGCACGAGAATTGCAATACGAGCCCCTACATCAATGATTCTCCGTGACCTGGAGACACTTGTGATTGAGCGTATTTAGGGACGTAGGGACGTCATACAGACCCTGAAGCAAATATATCCAAGTCCACGCAAGTCTAGAAAATGTGGCAAGTCTAGATTTCCACAGATTCAGGAGAATTTCTCAGGGCTCCTTTTTATTATATTTCTCTTTTTTACTATGAACTTTTTTTCTGTAAATATGTTCATTTCAGAGACTAGTTGTTCGTCTAGTAGGGACGGGTAGAAGGCAAAAAACAAAATGGATATGATGATGATGATGATTTAGGGTTTAACGTCGGCTTTTAGCTGTAGCCAATGTCGCCGACGGGGTAGGTGGGAGGTAAGATAATAATAAATAGGTTTAAAATAAGGAGTAAACCACCGTACCCAAAAAAAATATAAATGCTGGGGCATTAACCTAAGTGGAATTTTGAAGTGAAAAACTTTAAAAACATGAGAAAAAATAAATAAAAAGCCGATATTATGAAGGGAAATGGAGAGAAAAAGGAAAAACAATACACTTGAATTAATTAGTGCTAAGAAATAGAGTTATAACTAGATAGTAATGGTGAAAATGTTGGGCCTATGGTGGGGGTGGGGGTGGGGGTGGGGAGGAAAGGAGATTATAAGGAAGTATAGCATAGTGGGGCATGTATAGGAATGCAGGTAAGCTGCATAATTAGTATAAGGGGATATAATAATGAAAGAAAAATGGGTTAAGTTGGTGGGGGTGGGGGTTGGGGGTAAGGGAGCGAAGTAGGCTGTGGGTAAGGGGCCGTGGCTGTCGGTGAAGATTGCAGGTAAGCTGGCTTGGGTGGATGGCATTGACCTTGCGTTAGAGGGGTTGGGCTGCTTTGTTTACATTTTAGTGGACCATGATTGGCTAGGGGATGGGCGCGGACCTCGCAGCGGATTTAGAGCACCATAGATGAATGAAATTGACTCCCAGGTCTAAATGTGTAGGCATGTGCTGGTGATAGAGTGATAGTATGGGCAAGTGGAATTTTGACGCCTGATCTAAATATATAAGCTAGAAGTGAGTGGTAATGAGAAGGTTTGTTTGGGAGGTTCTAAATTTTTTGGAGTAAGTTAGAGTTTTGAAGGAAGGTGGCTATGGCATGGAATATATTGGGCGGGTTGTGGGGGTTGAGAAGGAGGTGTGTGTTATTGTGGTATTTCGTGGGAATGTTGTTGTGTAATTGCTTAATGTTTGTTTGTTGCAGCTGGCAGTGTGTGAATATGTGGTTTATGTCTTCCTGTGTGTTGCAGTGAGTGCATAATCCGTCCGGATGTCTGTTTTGTTTATAGAGTGTGTAGTTTAAGTTAGTGATGCCTGTGATTAGTCTGGTTATTCCCGTGTCAATGTTTTTGATGTTGGAATATGTGGGAATTTTTCTTATTGGGGATTTAATAATGGATGTGACCCAGGTTGATTTGTACGGAAGCGCTGAAGGGACCTGATGAAATATAATTTATCTTGAGCGCACAAGTTAGTATATTGAGCGCACAAGTTAGTATCTTGAGCGCACAAGTTAGTATCTTGAGCGCACAAGTTAGTTATCTTGAGCGCACAAGTTAATATATTGAGCGCACAAGTTAGTTATCATGAGCGCACAAGTTAGTATCTTGAGCGCACACGTTAGTATGTTGAGCGCTCAACTTAGTATATTGAGATACACTGCTCTATAAGCAGTGCATGTGGAAGCAAGGAGGAGTGGAAACGCGAACTGATTCATGCTTATTTTGGTCTTGGGTTCCAATTCAAACACATAACACATCTTCTTGTCAAAAATCATGGTATAGTATAGTACGCCATACGAAGCGTATTCTGAGGTGCATGTCCCTCTTTCGCACCAGATACCAGATTTGCTGATGTTACAGTGAGTGAGTGAGTACGGTTTACACCGCTTTTGGAAATATTCCAGCAATATCACGGTGGGGAACACGAGAAATGGACTGCACACATTGTACCCGTATGGGAAATCGAACCCAGGCGTGACGATCGGACGCTTTAATCACGAGGCTACCCCGCCGCCCCGCTGATGTTACATACTTTATTGCGGACACCTTCGACGATCTGAACAAAGACATGGTTAGCGTTGATGCATAAAAAATGTACCCTATGCGGTTTAATCGTGAAACAGGATACTGTACGGTCGTTGTTGGACCCAAATGGTGTTCAATTTCGCCCAGGACACTGTCTTCATCGACGTATTTATTCTTCAACTTCCTGTGTTGTTAAAACATGTTATATAAACTACAACACACATACGTATACATAAGGGATTGATACGGAAGAAGTGAAACGGGGAACACGGTATTTTAGTAAGAAATAAAGTCGGTATATATGCTATACGTGCACATACTAATGGATCAAATAAATCAGGCCGGTTTTATATGATATTGTACAGAGTTAAACTGCCATTGTACTCACGTTAGGAAACATTACTGATAAATGCAAACCAAGACTACAGACTATAGTTCCCTGAAAGTGGTCAACTTTACTTCCAATACATCAGACATTAGTTTTATAATTAACATAATTAAGTATAACACTCCATGTTTACATTTTTCATGGTCATGTAATACTATATATACATAATAAAGCCGTAGCAAAAAACAAGTTATCCAAGCTTTACGCTAGTGTTCATAATACTATGTACCAATATAAGAAGTAAGTAAAACCACTATTCATCCCTGCAATAAACTCCTACTCATGCTTATGTTTTAATTCTTATTATGACATTACACAAACCTAGGCCTGCTTTATGTAATAAAGCAAAAAGTGGTAAAATCAGATACAAAGAATAGTATTGACAAGCATAAAGACGATGAACGTTTACATGATAAACATTATCAATTTTCATGATACAATTGCATACTTTTACATAATCTCATCATAAACACCTCTAGTTAACTCCGACTTTGTATCGTTTGAAATCTTCCAAAAAGGATATAAGTTTGTACATTTTAGCAAGCAGTCAAGCAAATGTGCGTTCCATTAATGCCATTAGATGCTAAACACGAAGTTGGGCGCTCAAGATATTAACTTGTGCGCTCAAGATACTAGCTTGTGCGCTCGAGATACTAACTTGAGCGCTCAAGATATTAACTTGTGCGCTCAAGATACTAACTTGTGCGCTCAAGATACTAACTTGTGCGCTCAAGATATTAACTTGTGCGCTCAAGATAACTAACTTGTGCTCTCAAGATAAGTAACTTGTGTGCTCAAGATATTAACTTGAGCGCTCAAGATATTAACTTGAGCGCTCAAGATAAGTAACTTGTGCGCTCAAGATATTAACTTGTGCGCTGAAGATACTAACTTGTGCGCTCAAGATAACTAACTTGAGCGCTCAAGATATTAACTTGTGCGCTCAAGATAATTTTTATTTCATGAGGTCCCTTCAGCGCTTCCGTAGATTTGTTTGTGTTGATGTTGTGTTGAAAGTTGGTATTTGATATGTTTGTTTTAATTCGTTGGTTTCACATTAATTTTCGACTCGCTGTGCGCATGCGTAGAGCGTGTAAAAATATCCTCCGGCCATATCCGGTTTGGTCGTATTAGCGATATTGTAAACACGCTCTAAATAAATGCTGTATAAAAATTATTTACGCGTGACAACTGTTCATAGTTGAGTACATACATCAATTTGCCTATGCTTTTCAATATTTGATGTCCTATTTTGGTGGCATTGCATCAGAGATGTGTTTTTTTACTTGTGAGAAGGGGATGTGCAGGAAGGACGGTGGACGGGTGGTGGTGAGATGTGTTTATACAAGAGCTTGTTAACAAACGTTAAGCTATTTATTTAACTGATTCCGGTCCCTTCCATTCATAAATGAATTGAGATTAGTTAAATTCGACATAAAACCATATATTTGTTTTGATTTTTGCTTCCTTTAGAGTGCGTTTACACTATCGGTAAAGCTTACCACCAAACCGGATATGGCCTGAGGATATTTTTACACGCTCTGCGCATGCGCACAGCGAGTCTAAAATTAATGTGAAACCAACGAATGAGGTTTTTTATTTCTGCTTTGGATGTGTGGAAGTTGAGGTTTGATGATGTATGGGATGTGGCGAGTTTAGCTGCTGTATCGGCGGTATCATTTCCTGTGATGTTTGAGTGGCTGGGTATCCATGTGAATGTGATATTTTTGTTTGAGCGTGTGAGTGAGTCTGTTTGGATAATTATATTGTGTATGAGGTCTGGGCGCGATTTAGAATGCATGTTGTGAAGTTGTTTGATAGAGTTGAGTGAATCGGATAGTATAAGGAAGTTTGTTTGGGGAAGGGAGGGTATTAGGTGTAATGCAGTGAGAATGGTAGTGAGTTCGGCAGTGTTTATTGTGGTGTAGTTGGTATAGTGAAAATTTGTTGTGATGGGAGGGGTTTGTTGAACGTGTATGCCTAGGCCTGTGGGTTTGTTAGTGCTGACTGATGCATCTGTATATATATGTGTGTGTTTGGGGTAGTTTGTATTTAAGTAGTTGTTTGTGATATTAGTTGTGGTGGATTGAGGGGTGTTTTTAGGTAGTTGTTTGAGGATTGTGTGAAGGGACATGTCTGTGATGGGTGGGGGTTTGTTGTGAATGTAAGTAGTGTGCAACGTCTCCCTGGGATCATTTTCAAGATGGCGGCACATCCGGTCCCCATGGGCGCCGCCATCTTGGATCAAGATGGCGACCCACGGTGACCGGATGTGCCGCCATCAGGAAGATCACTCGTGTTCCGGTTCCGGTGCTTCAGTTCCGGTGGGTGCGCACGCATCGCGATGACGTCACGACCGGTTCCGGTGGGGTGCGCGCGCATGACGATGACGTCACCTCCGGGCCAAGATGGCGGACGCGTTTCAAGATGGCGACCCATCCGGTGGGATCGCGTGAGATCTCGCGGGATCTCGTGGAGTCTCGCGGGATCTCGCGAGCGTAGACGCGTTTCAAGATGGCGGAACGGACGAGCGGCGGACGGGACGGGACGGGACGGAGAGGGAAGGGAAGGAGAGGAAAGGAGAGGGAAGGAGAGGGAAGGAGGGAGAGAGAGGGGGTGAGGCGGACACGATGGCGTGGCTGGACAAGTGTGTGTGTGTGTGTGGGTGGTTAAAACACATTGGATGGAGCATTCTTTCGAGCCAGGTGGGTGGCCCTGAAAAGGGCCGTTGGTATGTGAATCAGTCAGCCAGGTTAGCATTTTAGAGTTAATGGACACAGCATCGCCACCCTCCTTACCGGCATGGCAGTGCCAACGATGTCATGGCTGCCTGCCTGTTTACGCTAATGGGACTGATGACTATCGTGGTACCTTCCAATGTGTGTACTGTGGCACTGTCTTGAAGGACACGTACATCAGGCGCTTGACTCATGGGAGCAAGTGCCCCATCAAGACAAAGATGACCATCCATCCCTGCCAATGTATGACCCCACTGTGGTCCCTGGAGTGAGGTACACTCCGAAAAAACGGCCCTTTTCAGGGCCATCCATCTCTCTCAAAAGAAAGGTTCGTTTCAATGCCAACAACAATAACAACAACACTAGGTTGACATTTTTTCAAACGTTTTATTTCCCCCGCTAACAAGAACACTTTGACAAAAGAGACAGGATTAGGGGCGTCCCTGATCTTTTGTTTACAAACGGTATGAACTGTAACATTAGAACTGTAACATCAGAACTGTAACATCATCACATCAGAACGATAAGGTTGTGTCCTTTGGCAGGGGTGTGGATCATGGTCAGCGTTGTTGTTGTTGTCTGTCAGGCGTGTGGGTTGAAACCAACGTCTTACACGTTCTTCATTGACGAGGGTATCGTAGGGATCAAACTGTTCCATCACTTCGTCAAAAGACCATCCACGGGCACGATGAGCCAGTACATACAAACAGTACATTCCACAAGAGGCACTGAACCAGGGTTGAAGTGACTGGCCATTCCACCGTTGTTGGAGCCATCCGGCGAAGGTCATGACATTCCGAAAGTCTGGATGCTGTTGATAGGGATGGCGTCCATAACTGTCAAAGTAGTCCATGACACCTGGTACTGGGCGATACACGCACACCCAGTGTTGTCCTGGGAGATGACTGGGGTCCGTGTTGACAATGTAGGCTTTAGGATAATGTCCCTCCTGCTGTTCACACAGCACGGTGGTGGCAAAGTGATCTCGGGCAAAGGTACCTTGGTAGAGGGGTCGCAGCAGGGGATCCTGTTGTACGTAGGCGTTCAAGTGTCTGGTCGTCAAGCCACTGTCGTCGTCATCCATCCTTAGACCATCAGAGCGTTGCGGAACCGATCAATTTCCAAAACGCTTTCGTATTCCTCGTAGCAGACGAGCGTGACGGGGCGTGGTAGGGGTTCTGCAAACTGAAGTTCAAGTCCCAACTTGCCCGTCTGTCGTGGGTAGTTATACCCTTCATCTGCACCCAGATCCGCCGTCAGATCCACCACCCACACGGTGAATCCGTTCCTGAATTCGTCCAGGGTGAGGTTGCAGGGATGTTCTTGCCACAGGTGTCCCGTGTTGCGGAACAGGTTCATGTACAACTGTTTGAGCGAGGCACTGTTGTCCTGAAAGTCGCTTTTGATTTCGGTGCCATGCACTTCTTGCCCATTGAGTTTCAGCTTGAGACTGGTCACGTTGTTGTGCTTGAAATGGTAGGGGTTCTTTTCCTTGCTGCCGGCAAAAAGCATCATTGTCCACCAATCCCAACACCACTCGTTTGGGCAGTTGGCCTCCAATCAGTTGATCTTTGTGGAAATCGCGTCCTCCTCCTGAAATGTCGTGGGCTGTGACTTGGACTCGGGTCAAAGGATATTTGGCCGTGACTCCTGGTGACATGTGTTTCACGTGTTGTTCCCGTATGGCAGGATCAATGTTGACTTGGCGCACGTAAAACTCGGCTTTGGTCAGTTCAAATCGGCACTCGACGTCTCCAGCACTCATCAAGTAGAAATCACTCGGGCTGCGAATCAGTTCTAGTTTCATGGGGACTCCATCCACCAGGTACCGGTCTTGGAGAAACAGGTCACAGTGGAGACGTCCTGTCAGTTCCACGTCTCGGGTGGGTAGAATGGCCCCTCGTCGTGCGACAAGTCCTGCGTTGGCATTCTGGGCGACAGCATTAAAGTGCTCCATTTTTCCAGCTTCATCGGTGTACCATCCTGGACACTGGAGATGGGTCCCTTTGGCTGCCTTCCCATAACTCAGCAACGTTTCCAAATAGGCTCGGTAGGGATAGGTACCCATGGAAGGAGTAATTTCCAGTTGGTTGTGTCCCACTTGTACACGCACTTCACGAAAGAGGGAATGCATCATGTTGTTCACCGTGGACACGGCGAGTGCCCCATCGCCCTCATGAACTGCATTCGTACCATCTGTATTCTTGATTTTGAGGCAGATGCGGAGGTAACACTGGCTCAAATCGATGTAGGCATTGACAGGGTTAGCAATGTTAAATTGGAGGGGGCCCGCGACCGAAGGGGGTGCCAGAGGGCTGTATCGAATCCACTGACCTTCTTGGACGGACGTCACCACAGGGGGCACAGAAAAGAGATCCAGTTGGGCCTTGGAGCATTCACAGGCATCTCGGCGCATCATCTTGACAGCTGATCTGGACCGCAGGTCTGCACAACAGGTCTTGACCCTACGGTGTCTGGTGTTGAACTGAACTCCTTTCTCATCGGGGTGGGTCTTTATCTCTTTCTCTCAAAACAAGGGTTTACGTTTCTTGGTGGATCCCACAGGCTGTTTCCGTTTTCGTTTGCGAGCGGGTGATCCTGGTGGTGGTAGTGGGTGCTGTCGCAAGGTGGCAAGTAAGGCTTGTTTTCCATGATGTTTCAAACTGTCCCCCACACTTCGGTGTCCTGAACTGATATCTTCCACCAATCCCGGCAACATCTTGACGCCTGATTTGAGAGCGGATTTTCCCACCGTCTTGAGGATGGAGAGCGCTGAACGTCCCAAGTTTCCCAAGATGTTACCGAAACCTCTCCCTCGTTGATGAATGCGTCCTCGGTACACGGTTAAGCTGCCTCCTCGCTGCTGTCCACCCAAACCGCTGCCGCTGTGGTATCTGATACACTGGTGGCCTACCATGTTGAGTCTCAGTACGTACCCAGGCGACGGGGACGATAATGAAGTGTCACGATGGCCTTCCCACTCTGGAATGGCACAAGACGTCCTACGTCATCCGTTAAATAGATTCGAATGGTATCCGTGGTTCCCTGACGCAATCCCATGTAGCGTAGGTGCTGAGGGGTTTTGATCACGACGCTGTCTTCCATCATCTGGCGCGACACGGGGACATACATCAGTAAGGGAGCCATGGTATCCCCGACGATTTGATCTTCCACCGCATCCGAGTAGACGTACACGGTATCAAAACCAGCCAGATGGTGTGCTTCCTTTACACCCACGACGAGAGGACGGTCAAACACAGCCACCTGGACAGGCTGAGCAGAGACTTGGCTTA